TAGAAATCAGATAAGCGGTTTCTGAGAAGAAGTCGAAAATGTAAATTGTTAACGGACGCACGACGGACGACGCACGATGCACGACGACGGATAAAAGGCTATTAGAACAGGTCACTTCATACTTCGTCTCAGGTGATCTAGAAACTATAAACTTGAATGATTTTGACCAAAACATCAATGTAACGCAGATCAATCAACAGCAAACTACAGTAAACACTTCTCCCCAAAGGCAAATGTGTTATCCTCAATAATGAAGAGTATTTGATTCCAACACCTGAACCCAAAGACAAAATGTTGTTAAATGTAAGAGAATTTTACACCTACAAGGTATATAAGCCACCCCCTAAGTAGCACCTGGATGAGCAACAGGGTAAAATAGCATCAAACTCTCATCTCATAGAATTTTATTCCAATCAACTCCTCCCCAGGGGGGAGATTGAGCTCAAACTCAGCCTATTGGGTATTAAATTTCACAATATTGATAAAGCACCTTTTAAGATCCTTTCCTGTAAGAAGAGTATTTCTTTCTAGCATATCCGAGTCTTATAAGAAGACTGTAGAAATTTCAACCTTTATAATTTATTTTATCCCTGTTAACCCTGCTCCTCACCCCCTGGGGTAGGCCAGGGTCTAAATAATCAAAGTGTCAAAGTGTCAATAGGGTTATAATTGCAGTTGAAAATCAACGAAATGAACCCAAAAGTATTGTTTTCCTATATAAACTATAGTAATTAATTTCACCCCCTTCTCATGGAGGAACAGGAAGCCATGGGATAACGTTATTCATACTTTTGATAAACCACCCGAAGACCCTTTTATCAATGAAGAGTATGTATATCTACCCTATCTGGTAAATACCTTTTGAAATTTCAGTCATTTTGACAATTTTTTGTTCGCCCATCAGCCCCTGGGGGTCAGCAACTGCCAATAACTGTATGTGCATACCATCAAATTGCCATCCAGTACCGATAATTCTAACGAAGTTTAAGTTATTTCTGATGTCAATTAAACAAATTACACTCAAGTATGTGATTTCCCTATATAAACTATAGTAAAGTTTACCCCCTTCCCAGAGGGAAACATGAGACCCCATGGTCATGAAATTCACACTTTTGGTAAAGCATCCTAACACCCTTCCATCTATGAAGAGTATTTGATTCTACCATATCTGGGTCTTGAGAGGAAGATTTTTGAAATTTCAGTCAATTTGACCCCTTTTGGCCCCGCCCCTCAGGCCCCTGGGGGCTATATGATTTACTATTTTAGTTAACCTTTGGCCATGGAAGGTTTCTGCAAAATTTCATTGAAATTAGTTCGGGGGTTTTGGAGAGGAAGTTGAAAATGTAAATTGTTTACGGACGCGCGATGGACGACGCACGACGACGGAGAGAATGCAATTGCAATAGATCACATGAGAAATCTCAGGTGACCTAAAAATCCATAGAACCGCAATAGAAATGCCGAAGTTCGTACTAGTTTAGCTTTTCAAAGACAATATTGTCTACAGAAACTCGCCCTAAAAGGACCACAGACAATTTCGTCCACAAAAACAACTCACCCCAAAAACAATAAGTAGAAAATAAGAAGATAAAACAACTGCATATCAAATAATGAAGAATTTTAAACGAGGGTGATAAAAGCAGTCTTTGCTGGGGTCAAGTTAAGGGTATAGGCAATGAGTCGGTGATCCTGCAATCTTTGCAGGGGGTCCCACATGTGTCGCCTCAAGGGGTCAAGTATATGGCACAGACAATGAGCCAACGATCTTTTAAATAATTAAAAGTAGATAGAGCCTGACAAGTTTGGTGAAAAGAAATTACCTTGATCTACATTCTAGGTTACACGGGCCGAATATATGTCAACAAATTAAAACTACTTCTTTTTCAAAAGAAACAAAAATGCCGAGAATAGTAAATAGCTAGTAACTTCCTGAAATGGAGTCCGACAACGATTTTGAATAAAAAAAGACGTATTTTCAAGGTAGGGGAGGTATCATTTAAACGAATTTTCAATATTCAATTGTTGTTTGGCCAATTTTGAATAAAAAAGACGTATTTTCAAGGTAGGGGAGGTATCATTTAAACGAATTTTCAATATTCAATTGCATTACCGGCTAAAATGTTATCAAGTTTTGTTTGAAAAATTACTTTGATACATTTTTCAAAGTCAAAGTTGTCAAATATATTGTTACCATCAAATGATTTTGTTCCCAATAACCAAAAAAGCAGAAGTTGGTTATAATTGACAAGTGGCATGCTGAGATGAAAGGGTGTCGTATCACCTAGCATATATTTGGTATTTTCCTATATACAGGTTAGGTGTTGGGTGTATGCTAGGTGAGATTTGGTGTCAGTTAGAGAACAATAGGATTCAATTACAGGTAAATCATAGTCTGTACTATAAAGTGTGTTACCATATGAATATGAACATAGGGATGATTTTTGGTGTTAAATCATATTTACTTATGATATTGTTTCCACTTCATATATTACAGACTTCATAATAATATAGGGAATATCAGATTTAATGTCCTAATTTTACATACTATTCTATTTCAATTTATGTTTTTTCAAGTATTCTTCTTGACCAAAACATCCTTGAAATTAGGTTAGTGGTTCCACTGGTCAAGGTTGTACCATCATTAAACCATTTTTGTATAAGTTGATAGTGTAACCTAGTTTTCAGTATATGTTTCAAAATAATGTGCTTACGGTACACTTCCCCTTATACATGTATATCCTTATAATTTCATCCCGAGTTAGTATCTTCTTAATATAATGTAACCATTTGAAATGACAAAGTCTAATTTTCATGTTAACAGTGCATCATATTGTTTACATTACTCAATGGTTTGTGCAAAATAATGGTAAACAAATATTCAAAGTAGTTTTCATGTACTATTCCGTCTATACCACATGCCTGCAGTGCTAGTAATTAAATGTTTATTATTGTGTATGGTACGGGTTTTTTTCTTCAATTTTATCTTACGTAGTATATTTCAGTAAAGTATAGAATACATGTACATGTACGTATCAACAGATTAAGAATTGTTTGCATTCATTGAGACTGGAAGATAAAGAAATGTTCCTGGAGAACTAAGGCATTATTAGGAATGCTACTCCACAGACATACATGTGAAAGATGAATTTCGCTTTCTTTTAATTCGATGTAAATGTTAAATTCTTAGAGTACGGTTTTTCCTAAGGCTATTCAGTTTTATTGTTACGTCTAAAATATAGTTAGCAGCTATGTTTGTTAGGGACATTCATATTTGAAGCTATCAGAACCCCTTAATTAATTATATTGTAAATAATGTTCCTCGTCTCTATACTTTCTCTACAAAAGGTTTTTTTGTATATCATGAGCCACACATAATGGGCCAATAACCCAAAGTGTGAATAAAGCATGACATTTGTGAGGTTATGGCAAGCGAAACCTATGATTATTTTTCATTTCTACAATGTATGTCCGCACAAAATCAGCTTGAAAATGAAATTCTGTAAGAACGAGAGGCCTATGGTGATTAAAGGGATATCAAGTCTGTTTTGTCAAAGAGCTAGATCTACATTGAAGGTCAGAAATGCCAAAACGTTTTCAAACATCAAAACAACTTTATTTAAATAAACGGAGATTGCTAAGATTATACTATTTGGCTATGGAGTTGGTTCCAATGAATTACTTTTAAATTCATGATGATTGGCTTGTAGCATGATAGGTTAACGTGCTATGAAGTGTAGAGTCGGAATAAATGTCTTCATTTCATTTCAACTTATCTTATTGACAGATGTAATAGTCAAATGGATTGAATAACAGGCAAGTCTATATAAATTCTTTCCCTGAGTGGCTCTAAATTTGATCTAATTTATATATACAATGTACTTAGATCATTGATAAACTAATTTAAGGATACTTTGCAAATAAAAATATTTTAGAGTAATACGATGAAATGAATAAGGGGAGATAACTCCAACATGATAAACACAATGGGAATGAACTCATAGGATATCACACAAACAACACACAAACAACTCACAATAATGCATCCAACACACGTACAGTTAAAATCTCATTAGATAAAGCAATAAATGACTTACAACAGCTTTAACTGTCATGTTATCTAATAAATGTTCAAAACTCGTCAGTATAGATTTTAAACGTGTCGAGTGTCAATAGTTTTAAAGAAAGGCGCATAAAGTATAGTGAACTAAAAATCAGTCCGTTTGAAGAAGAATCGACCCTGACTCTCTTTGAAAGTAGCAATAGTGAGATAAAGAACAGGTGAGCAATACATGTATTTTGGCCTCTTGTTTTACTTGGATTGCACCGTCTTGTTAGATAGCATGTACCCTGGCCCAGTGATCATGAAACAGACGTAAGTCTAAGACAGAATTTGAACTTAAGTTTTAAGCTTTGACTTATTTGACTAAGCAAAGATTCAAATCTTCAGTGAATCATGAAACGTGCTAAGCAAAATCTTAGCTAAGACTTAACATATGTTTAAATTATTGTTTATACGGGGTATTTATTTGTCTGATATCTGAGGTGATATGTTCTGTTATCTTGAGACACTAAGTTCAAAACTTCCTACGATCCCAACATTACAAATTATTTTGTTTGTGGTTTTCGGTGAACATGAGGCATAACGCTATTTGTAAAAGTAAAACATAAAATATATTCAGAATTTGAGGAATCTTATCCAATACCTCCCTCAAACCTTATCGTTTGAAATATTTCATACAGCATAATGGACGGCTGAAAGGTAGCTTTGTAAGCACTACGGATTCTAGGTTATAATATTATTACCTTTCCATCTGTCTTCACATCTGTAGCAATTGAACATACTTATATTTGGTACAAGGCGTTGCTTTTACTATCATTTTAACTAGAAGTATGAATCTTAATGAACAATCAAGCTATGATGTTTTATGTTTGCTGGTTTGTCTGGTTGCAGTATATAACAAAAGTATAATCTTTACCTCAACTTGTTCTTTTTCATGTAGTCAAAACAACAGGATCAGTACAGTGAAAGATAATTCAACATAACCGAACGGTAAGCCATTATAGATGAAAGATATATAGAAATTATTCTACGTGATAAACCGTCTATACGCTGACTGTAATTTTACAGCTGCGTTGTTTAACTTTTATTGAATGTAAAATATTTATTAATATAGATTCTATACATTGGCAACAATGCAAAGGTGTACTTGATTAATACCTATATCAGTGAACTTGAATGTAACTTGCACTGGCTGATAGTATAATTGCTGCTTACAGGGACCCCGAAAGTATGCAATGGGCAGCCATGAATGTTACAGGTAAAGTTGGAGCTCCTTGGGCAGCCGCAGCTTTAGATGCAGCTGAAGGTGTGTACAATTTCAGTCAGGGATCGGCAGTCGTAAGTTGTTACACATATCTGGAAATGAAGTCGTTACCGAGACGACTAAAAAGATAACTAAGAAAACCACAGAGACTTTTGTAAAGAACAATTTAGTAAAGAGAGTTGTTGACACAGCTGTTACTGAAACTTGTAAGACAAGTTTTAAACAAACCCAACTTGAAATTGTCAAGACCTTTATGAGAAAAAAATGATATGGTAGAGATGGTAGATCATCTGGTACAGTATCCTCAAATGAGGTTGAAGAAGCATCGGCAAACGAAATTGTGAAGGATACTGATAAGGAAACACTCGATGTAATTACAAAGAACGTTGTTCAGTTTACTGCTGAATAGGTCACAAAGAAGGTTGTCAAATTATTCGTAAATATAGACATATTTCTATTTAAATAAGTATTGGACGCCTTCAAAAATACTTACCAGAAATCCTTAGTTCTCAGAATAAACTATTCTTATACCATAAGACAGAAGTACCCATCTCAGCTATTTATATTGTTTTAATTATGTATGATTATATTTCAAATTTAAACACATATGATTTAATTCTTTGGTGTGTTTAACAGAAATCTTTTTGTTCTGGATATAGGAGGAAAGGTAAATTAAATGTCCAAGATAACAGTGCTGTGTCATTCATTTAAAACTAATAACAGATGAAAAATACTTAAATCGAGGTCATTTTTGCAGGCGTTTTCACACAGCAGAAATTGCGCATATACATCTTTTCTCTTGTATACGATTTTTGTTTCTGTTGAATGATTCGCATCTCCCTGTATATATCATTTAGTCATTAGAAATTATATATTGTCTGTAATAAACGTGATACCCGACTATTTTAGGTTTATCATGTGACGCTACTTTAACACATTTTTTTCGTAGTATTTTTTTGTTAATTAAGGTATATAGAGGAATATTATGAAATGAAGTTGAGAAATGACGTGTATAGATTTAGGTTATTTTAAAGAGCATAGTTTAATTTTGGTTAATTTGTGTGAAATCAAATATCAATACATTCGAATATTTTAGACTATTTGTTAAAAAACCAATTCAGTCATAAAAAAGCTTGTAGTGGTATGAATATCAATGTGACACATATCAACTTTACCATAATTCGAGGAAAAGACAAAAGTACGTCTTTATTCGAAAACATTATTTTGCATATTGCAAATAAACTTCACTTTTTTAGACAGTTCGTGTTTATCCTGATAACGCCGAATTGATTCATTGAGCCTTGGAGAAATATAAAAATGTTAAATACTTTCAGATAAAAATACAAAAAGCTTGATTGGCAGAATTTTATAGTGGTACAAAAGTATTGCATGTGGGTCAATATTAAAAAAATGTTGTACCAAAAGCTGTCCCATAAAATAAAACATTTTTGATTTTTTCATATTTTACGTGAGGCGATCTCTTAAGCAAAGTGTCGTGTCTTTAAGACCTAAGAAATGTCATTTTATTTCATCTTTTCTCATCATATTACTTTTAAGAAAGCAGACCTCTACATCACGATGTTTGTTTATTTTGATGATACATGTATGTGCTTGCTGCTTTACTGATCGAGCTTAATAAAACAAAATGATATGGTATTCTAGATCTAAAAAATCTTACTTTACTGTACACTTTCACAATTTCTTAGTCCAAACAATAGAATAAATATAGAAAATTAAAAAATGTCTGTGAGCCATGAATGCTCCCGCCGCCTGGTGAAACTAGTTTTAGTGTTTGATGTTCTATAAACAGTTACAACTACTTTGATCCTGATACCCTGAAATATGTTGACCTTGACCTTGGAACCCTGACACACAAAAACGATGTCAGGAGGTATTCTGTGAATAAACTCTCATCAAAATATGTTAAGAAGTGAAGAAGCTAGAGTGCTGACACTGAATAGGTTGATGATTTTCTCGTATAACTTTAATTGTGATCCTTTTCTTATTTTCATTATTGTTATCATAACTATTATTTATGTCACTGTATCTTTGTGGCTATGTAATAAACACATTTGATGGTATTTCATTGACATTTCTAGAAGTCTTTTGTTTGTCAAAGATTGACTTTTCTATCGGTTATAAAAAAGAACCGGGCGATGCCATAATACTTGTTTAAATCATTTCTAAATATTCATCAGTTGTAAAGGAAAACTACGATTGACAAACTGTACTAAATTTTACAACCAGGTTGGCTTTAGTTGTAAATAATACTAAACGCAGTTTATCAATTATGTTTGAATTTGCTGAAAACATATGTTTATACATTTGCTTCATTTGTACTCTCTGGAATATCTCATTCCAAACTGAATACACGCTATTTGTTTGGTCGCAAGTATATAACAACCTTACCTATTGCTAGGCTGATACCTGTCCTTTGAAAATTACATTGGAGCAACACCCAACTTCAAAGCCAGTCAATTTAACCGTTATGTCGAGAATCTTTTGATGTATATCTAAGGAACAAACTAGTCTTCTCGTCTCATACACAATGTGGTGCACACTGAACCTTCAATATTGTCTTGGCATATTCTAAGTAAGTCCTAATAGCGAAATTGAGCGTAACCCCAGTAGTATCGAGGATGTTAGAAGCCGGATAACTCGTGTTTGATACCAACATTTATAACACGTTTTTTTCGTAAAATACATCAAAGCATGTATGATAAAAATAAACAGTATAGATGTTATTACTCTAAACATTAGTCAGTGGATTATTTTGTTTAAGTTTACTCCCCGGTAGGAATCTAGATCGTTTTTTGCCAGTGCAAACATGCGCATTGGTGTCTACCTGACCGAAGTATGGACGTGTGTGAGTCCTGAGAATTATGTTGATATTTTTGTGATTAATTTGTCATTTGACGTCCAGTTGTCACCCATAGCAAATAAAAAATCTAATAAAATATATACACCTAGGAATTTACTCAACGTATCACTGTACATTGATAACAACCACTCACAGCACACACCCAACAGACATCCCACCACCTCAGACATATAGTACAATGTACATTGTCGGACTTGATACGATGACTGAAAAGTCATATGTAAATACCATCCGAGATCTATACCATTCAATCCCAAAGAGGATCAATTCTGTCTGGAGAGCTCGTATCTCAGAAAGTATTAAGGCAAATAATGTAATATACTTTCTAAAAAAAAAGATAAAAAAATAGCTTTGATTTCTTTTTAATTATGCAATTTTTTAAATATTTTTTGTTTAGAAAAACTGTCAACAACGTCATCAAAGAAAAATGCAAGCGGCATAAATTGACGTCGCAATCGTGTCACTGCTTGTGTCAAAGAACGGTAGGATGAGCCTCACAGATTTCGATGCATAAACACGGATTAGGCGTTATTCATTTTCTTTTTTTCGACCATTCTACGCATTGCATTGCTCTTCAGTAAATGGGTGGACGAATTTCACAACTGGGACCATTAATTCAACCTGAATAAAATAAATCTCAAAATGATGAAAATAATCTAAAACATAAAAATATTAAACCAAATTATAACTAAACAAGAGATCCCAGAGGGATCTTGGCGCCCACCTTTGTACCATCTTCATTAGTTCTTTTTCAGTTCGATCTTTTCTCTTCTTTCCTCTAATCTGTTTGATCGAGTCATGTTAACAGTAAATGCACCTTGAGGTAACTTTTGATCTAAATTTAATACTGATGTGTATGAAAGCCAACCAAAGAAATAGAATCGATCATTGCAATATGAGAGAGATCTGTTTAGTTCTTCTTTTAATCATTTTGTTTTTATGATCAGTCTCAAAATATAACATGCACAACGAGAGATGAAGTGGAACCTACATATAAAATTTGAGAAAGATCCCTCCCGTACTCAAGAGAAATAGCGATAACAAACTTTCACTATCAGAATCAAAGATGGCTGCCTGTCGGCCATGTTGCTTATCCGACCAGTCTCTAAAATTTCCCTGCACAGTTAGGACCAAGGGGAACCTACATATAATATTTAAGAAAGATCCCTCTAGTTCTTCCGGAGAAATAGCAGTAACAAACCTACACTATCAAAATCCAAGATGGCTGCCTGTTGGCCATGTTGTTTATCCGATCACTCTCAAAAAATTTCCCAGCACAGCTAAGGACCAAGGGGAACCTGCATGTAAAATTTGAGAAAGACCTCTTTGGTACTTCTTGAGAAATAGCGATAACAAACTTTCACAATCAAAATCCAAGATGGCTGCCTATCGGCCATGTTGTTTATCCGATCAGTCTCAAAAGTTGCCCTGCACAGCTTAGGACCAAGGGGAACCTACATATAAAATTTGAGAAAGACCTCTATGGTACTTCTTGAGAAATACTGATAACAAGAATTGTTTAATGACGGACGACGGACGGACGGCGGACGGCGGACGGACGACGGACCACGGACGCAGGGTGATTTGAATAGCCCACCATCAGATGATGGTGGGCTAAAAATGATATTAGGCATATATATAAGACAAGCTTAAGCTTACGCGTGTATTTGAGGACTGATTACACACGTTACACAAGGAGGCACGGTAGTCTAGTGGTAGGACGCCGGGCTCGCGACCAAAGGGTTGCGGGTTCGAGTCACGGCATTGTGTTGTGCAAGATGAACAAGATACTTTACTCCGCTTGTTCCAGTCACAGCTGTAAATGAGTACGTGATTTGGCAGTGCTGGAACTGATAAATGCTAGCTGTGAGCGCCGAAATGGCAGCACCCCATGGAGTTTAGAAAGATATTGGCTGGTTGCAAAGGCCCTATAACCACGGGTAATAATTTGTGAACCGCTTTGAGCGGACCAACGAACATCTAATTATTATTATTATTATTATTATCAGCATTGTTGTTGTTATTCAAAGGTGATATTAAGTCGGACAATAATATCTAAGGCCATGTAAAAATATTGTTTGTTTCTGCTAACCCTACCTACCCAACTTGTTTGTGCCTACTCGAAACTTTGTATGGCCATCTTCATTGAAGCACTGTTAACGTCAAGATCACTCTCCTATATAGACTTTGTAAAAATAATATTAAAACAAAATATGCTACCTACCTACTCCAATTTTTTCTGACATATTAGTAGAAACAAATGTTTATTTTGTTTGGCCTTAAAATGTTTCGCCTTTCTTCAATTATATGAAAGTAAATATTACTTGAAATATCAGAGGATAAACAAGTAATATATATATATATATATAGTGATTGTCCTTATCGGTTTCCGCACACTTAAAAAGCAGCCGCGATTTCGTACTCATATCGGTAGAATACTGTTGAAATTACAGATGACTGTCATAGACATGTGCACAGTCTACTAATGGAAACAAAATAAAAAGCTACATAAAACTGTATTAAAAAAAAGATCAGAAACAATTGTAAACAAAGCTGGGGTCAACATTTGGCCCCCTCTTTGATTTCTTTTATTCTTTTGCCATATGTAGATACATAAAAATGGTCAATAACTGCATAAATGGTTATTCATAATTACAACTGATAAACGTAGTGGACCTCCTTGCATAACACCAGGTTGAGTGACGGGGTTATCCTAACAAAATGATAGATAAATGTCACAGGCGAATGTTCTTTAGAAAATGAATTATGATAGTGTACAGTGCATAAAATTTCTGTTATTGTGATACGAAATATGTCATATTGGTATACATGAAGTAAGCGTAGTGATACTTTTAATTATAAAAACATGCATTTTGTTTTACAAAATTTAAAATATAACCAACATTGTCAACTTGCCTATATATAGTTACAATGGTAGTCTATATTTTAAACTTCTATAAAAACTTTCCATATGTATATTCTGTCTACAGAATCATTTTTATGAAATATCAAAACCGGTAAAGTACTTTTTTAAATACCGATACATTTTGTGTTTTTGTATTATACCAAAACACTTTATTATCTTACGTATGTTTGAAAGTTATGTGCAACAGTAATAACTCATGAATATGTATTCTGCCAAAGTAATCGTTCCTCTGGAGAACTACTTAAGGTTGAGATTGTGTTATAGACAGAGATATGCAATAATATAAAAATAATAACATAATCTTAATTTTAAAACTATTATACACTTAATTATACCCCCGCAACGAAGGGGGGTATACTGGAATCAACTTGTCCATCCGTCTATCTGTCCGTAGAAAAAGTTTGTCCAGAGAACTCCTTCTAAAGTAATAAACCAATTCCAACGAAAACTCCCAGATATGATTACTACCACCTGAAGTTGTGCATCCAGGCATTATTTTTTCATTCTTATTCTTGTTTTACAAAGTTATGGCCCTTTATTGAAAAATCCTTGTCATGACATCTCCTCCAAAACCAGGGGGTCAATTTCAACAAAAGTTTTCAGATACTACTACCTGGTGTTGTTCATACAGGTATTATTTTTTTCCATCTGACCCTTTTTTACGGAGAAATGACCCTTTGTTGAAAAATACTTGTCCAGACAACTCCTCCAAAACTATGGCGCCAATTTCAACGGAAGTTTAAAGATATGGTAATTATATAACTGCCCCCTGACATTGTACATCCAAGTAGTACGTTTCATTCCGACCCTTTAAGAGGAGTTATGGCCCTTTGTTGGGAACAAAACTTTGTCTGCCTCATAAACTACTGGGCCGATTTCAATGAAAGTTTACAGATATGGTAATTACCCCCCTTATGTCGTGCATCAGGGTAGTATTTTTTCATTTCGACCATTTTTAAGGAGTTGAGGCCCTTTGTTAAAATACGTTGTCTTGACAGCTCTTTCTTAACTACTAGGACGATTTCAGCAAAACTGGTTCATCTGGGCTGTTTGGCATTGGAAGGGAGTACAGGAGGTATGTCAGTGACCTATATACTTAACAAATTACCGATGGGTGACTATGGTTTGCTTTGCAATGCTTTGCCTTAGTTGGCCCTTTGCTTACAGTTCTGGTTTATATAGGAGCAGGTGTTATTAGTTAACCGAATAATAACCGTTGGCTTACAGTTCTAGTTATTATTTGATTTTGCCTTTTGCCTATTCACTAGTCAAAGTATGAAGGAATATTACGTTATTTTAAATCGTTAAATTTAAACAAGTAAGCAAGGGAAAATATCCTTGTCTGACTCCCCATACCAACATTTTATTCTAGCAAATTTGATTTTGTGACCTTGAACGACGGTTAAGGTCATCAATGTTTACAAAACTTAAATCCATTCACATGAACAACCTACCTATTAAAAATCAAGACCCAACGACATTTGGTCATGAAGAAACGCAACATAAAGGAAAAGTGGAAAGAAAGCAATGTTTTTCTTTTCTTGAATCAGAAGTGTTATATGACAAATTTACCGGTTGTTATTTTTTTGGAAATTCTTAGTGATGAAAGTTATTATTGGTAGCCAATTTTCAAGCAAGTGTGAAAAATAGACTCGCTTCCTATACCCATACCTTTTTGTATTTATCTTGTTTTGTAGTTCCAAGCGGGGGCCGACGCTAATGTTAAATCTCCATAGGCGTTGACCCTACCTTTCATCTGTCTGAAGTAGCCGTCATATGTTTCCGTGTCTCTATTTTGATTCAGTGTTCAAAGAATGATTACTCAAATACGCTAAAAAGAAATTCTCCAGCGTTATCCGCACGAATATGATCATTGATCGTCAAAATAATTATGAAAAAAAAATTGTTTTCAAAATAACACATATTTAATTGATTTTTCAATACATCAACATGAACGAATTCAAATAATTTTAAAAATGTGTGTACATAAAAATATAATATGTTACTATTTTTTTAATTTTTTTTGTGAAGTCTTTCTTATATATCGGTTTTTGTTGATGGTAAGTTATTTTTCATTTTTTTCTGATTAAAATTGATGAAAATTGGAAGTTCATTGCGAAACAAGATTGGCGTTTCTTTGCAAACAGTGTTTATTGATATAAGAATGTCTCATTTCCTCTTCGGAAGTGGAAAAAATTGGCAAGGAGAACTAGTAGCCTCATTTGCATCCGACACTATCGTACGTTTGTCAAACTACAAAAAAATACCTGGCCCCGGAATCTCGAAACTTCTTAAACCCATTCTTAGTGCTTAACTTTAAGCATATACTTAAAAAAGTTTATCTCAAAGATTCTTAACCCATTAAACATATTCTCAAAATGGTGTATCTCGAAGATTCTTAAGTCTCCATTCCCAAATTTTAAGTTGAGAACGGGTTAAATATTTCAGAATGGTAAAAAGTGCCTAAATACACAAAATGATCAACTACAAATGTATGCTCAGTCATGAATTCCAACCGCTAAAAGCAAGTGAGGTGAGAAAAGGCTTTGTGTTTATATTTATTTTTTATTTATTTATTCATAATTACTATTAATTAGCTAACACATCGTCATGGATAAAATGTAAAACTCTATCACTGTTTTCCCAGGCATGGGTTCATTTTGAGCAAGATAAAAATTGTATTAAGCAAAACTGTACATTTATGCGGGTTTTTTTAATCTGTTATTGATTCTTACGTTTTCCGGTAATTTTGTGTCAGTTCAGTTGCAGACGATGGCCAAACGTCTTAAATATCATCGTGTACAGGGTGAAGCAGGTCATGTTTTAACCGACGAGATACAGTTTGAAAACAATCTGTGCGGAAACCTTTCATTAGGCGATAAATCAAATGAACATTTGTAAATAAAATGATTTGTAACTGAATAAACGTTAGATATTTACTTACCTCCTGTTAAAAAAATCCCGCTTTTATTAGCTTCGGCAAAACCGGATGCTTCCAATTGGAGCAAGAGAGATAACTCTATCATACATTGTCTCTTCAATTTCATAAGCGAACAGGATTTTTAAGTTATTACTGAAAATTACCATTGAAAATGGCTTTGAAAGAGTCCGAAATCATATCGTGACCGGTCTTACATCACTCGGCCATATATATTGTAATTTTGAGACACCTCTGTCAGATCATCAGTGCTGATCAGGCTACTCTCTGTATCTACACATGCTTAATGTGTTATGTCACCAGAGCTGATGTTTTCGAGTCTTGCCTAAACCATCACTGGAGAATCCAAAGTGGAGTTTAAGTTTTGAATATATAGTATACATATGTAATTCCTCAGATATGATACATTGTTAATAGTTAGTACAAAAATGTATGAAGTTTAGAAATGTCCATTGCATTAATGGACAGTTCCAGGCGGAACTAAACTGCTCGATTGAGTAAATTGAGAAACTCACGTCTGGCGCAAACGACTCCGAGTAAGGCACAGTGGACACAGACAATCAATGGTGGTTTTTTTTATGAAAATATCAATTTGGGGCACGTTCGGCCCCTTTTGCCGGGGCACATTAGGCCACCCCGAATGCAACTATTATTGTGCCAAGTGACGTCACTAATGATAACGTCACCCAATTGACCACAAAAATAATATTTTTACGTCGCAAAAAATAAGTATTTTTTTCTTTGTATTCACTGATTTGTTCTGGACTTATTTTCCAACAGAATTGAATGAAATTCCATACACTTATTAGTAAATTGTCTTCTCTATCCTTCATGCCATACTTGCCCTGGTAGGGGCCGGATTTGCCTCAGGGCGGGGCTCGTCCGGCCCCCAACTCTCTCGACCTTAAAAGTCCAATAATTACCAAAATATGGTCTTGTTTACGATTTGGTTATTATATTATGAAAGACAATACATTTCTTTTCTAAATGACATATATAAATATGCATTTCAACAGTATAGTACATGCCTCCCATAACGTCTTGAAAAAAAGAAAAGGGGCCGTGTTTGCCCCGGTCCCCCCTACACATGTATTATACATGTGTAGGGGAGACCGGGGCAAGTCCGGCCCCTTTTTTTAAAACTATATTATAGTTTACAACATATCATTATCTCAGACATCAGGACGTGGGAAATGGGATTGGCTCCTGAGACGTTCTAGAAAACAAACTTTTCATGGGGGAGACCCCCCTTACGGAAGGGGGAAGACCCACTCCCGTACCATCCCCTGCTCGCGCTACGCGCTTCGAGGGGGGGGGGGGGGGGGGGGGGGCTGCCTTCGGCAACCCCATATCGGGGCTTACACATGGTAAAGGGGCTAGCTACGCGCCTGTCTAGGTATTAAAGATTAATGTTATTCAAATGTCTATGCTCTTGAATTTGTCAGAATTTGTTGAAACCGTATTGAGCTGACAGCAGAGGACTTTTGTAAGTTTTACAGTCAGAATAAAATCTGTGTAACGTTATCTGTGTATCTGTACACCAACTTAAATTTAATTCCGTGATCTGTATAATTATATAAATTAGTACAGACCTAACTTTACACGAATAAGATTAAAGTCCGTGATCTATATATATATATCAATCGTTAAAATATTTTAGTTTCCATATGATCAGAGCCAAGAGTTTGAAATGAACACAAGTCAATAACTGGAATGCTTGGAGACGAGCCAAAATTATATTACATGTGATCATGATCATATATATATACTTTCATATATAATGTTATTTCTAGAAAGATCTTTCATTTTGAAAAGAAAATGCAGTTGCTATGATTATAACGGATCATCCGGGACGGTCATCCGGTCAGAACATTACGCAGTAAAACCTGAATAATACAGTCGCAGTTTTAAAATCGTCCACAAACGTTGAACAGGTGCTCGGGTGAGTAGCGTGTACCATCAACGTAATAACTCTATATAAACATTCGCTACCGTTACGCTTTCTGACACTCTAAATTCGCTAACATTAATACATACTGTAACATGGGATTGTTGTCAGAGGGATCCCCTCTCAGCTGGGAGGATACCAAGAAGCACGCTGACCACGTGAGAAAGCATGGCATTCGACAGTTTATAAACATGTACAGAAAGTTGAAGGATATGAAGAAAGACGTACTCTACTGGGGAGACGAGGTACGTTAAACTTTTCAATAATTACTTCTGATGGGAAAGTTGTGGGCCAGTGGGTGTTAATTATCTGAAGAAATTTGCTTCTTTGAGTGCGTCCGTTTCTCTGGAAAGAAAGAGAGAAGGGGGAGGGGGTAAGTAAACATAGGGTAAGGATAGAGAGTTGGAGGGGGTTAGTTAACAAGTCAGTTTAGTCTAGCTTAGAGGAGTGAGCAGGGCTGTCACATTTTATTTTAAGAATCCAATATAACGCAGCACACAGGCATATTGTATCGAATCAATATAAAACATGTGGATTACTTAAGTTGCCTTACAAGCGTCAAGAGCTATACGGAATTTCCCTTTAGCTCAGCGGTAGAGCATCAGGCTGGATAGCCAAGGGTCGTGGGGTCGAACCCCAGTGACAACACTATCTTTGTCACTATTTCTCATCCTAACTACAGAAATATCGCTGTATTGCAAATTACAACAATTCGAACAGATATGTCAATGATCATAGTGTAGGGAATTAGATTTCAGTTGAAATTTCATAAGTAACGCTGATTTGACTAAAATTTGAAATCTATATGTGATCAATATGATATATGACTGTTCGAAGACAATTTTGAATATATATATATTTTTTAATTGACCACCATTTTACGAAATTACTTTATAACAATATTGGGTTACATATCAATACATTCCTTGTGTATTGCAATATATCACAATACATGTCAGGTGTATTATGACACCCTTAAGAGTAAGTTTGTGGGGGTAAGTAGACAACGACATTCCACCCAGTTATAAGGAATCTAAAGGAAAGTGAATATATGCTTTTGGTTTAAACATATTTTATTGAGAAAATAAGTCAGTAAGTTTTTCCAGCTTATTAATTGACTTCTCCCGTAATACAGACAAATACAATAATACACAATTGTCACATGATGGTAAGAAAATAAATATGCTATTAATGAATTGTATTAATTGAGAGAAATTGAGAGAGAGAGAGAGAGAGAGAGAGAGAGAGAGAGAGAGAGAGAGAGAGAGAGTAAGAGAAGAAGCAGGAGATAGGACTGGGGTTGGAGGTTGGAAGGAAAGGGATGGGGTTGATAGTTAGTCAAATCTACCCGATCTTCCCAGGAAATGCTGTGCAGCTTTGGCTAGTTTCATATTATCATTTGGTGAGATTTTGGGGGGTCTCCTTTACAAAGAATATCTACGTTTATGTATACTCATACCATTCTAATTCGGTAATGAATGTTCTTCGTAAATTAGAATACAAAGGACAAATAAGGAAAAAATGATAACAATCTTCACAGGAATGCTCACACCCGCAATCAGCTGAACCGACTAGATTTGCTCTGAAAAGATAATAATTTAATGAGCTAGCTTGATTTCTAAGATACAGTATATGCTTTGGTCACTTGTGATGTCCAATCGAATGGACATCTGCTAGGGACGTAAAGTCACTTGTTTAAATTCATGATTCATTGATTTTATTGCATGTTCTGTTAGACTCTAATCAATAGACTTAATCTTATCAACTGATTTTTACAACACACAGATTTGTCTGTAATATAACGGATTATGTAAAAACAGAGAATTATTGACTGAAAACTACTTGAATTTGTTTAAATCTTAAATGGTCAATTAAATTGACATTTAAATTTCTGTAAATTTTCCAAACTGAACCAGTAAAAGGTCTTAAATTGTTTTTAGACAATTTTAAATCAACTTAGAATCTCTTTCTGTTTTGAAATACAGAAATCCCTGACGTCACTGATACATAAAAATATCTCAATATTTTCAAACGTGTATATTTATACTGGGGTACATTTTTTGTACATCAAATCAATGCTGACTAGATAATAAAATATTTCTATTTGTACTTATCAGAAACATATAGGTGTCAACCTCTGAAACCTCCAATGAGGGAGATCTCCCTCATTCCACATTTCCAATGAGGGAGACAGAGCTTGAAACGCGAATAAAACAACGTTGCACAATTTGTCTTTCCATTTTTATGTATGCATCAAAATAGCTACAAAAAACATTTGTTTGATTCAGACACACCTATTATGATCATCACACACACTCTGCAGTATCTAGGAGATCATTTGATCACAGGATGTAGATTTTAAGTTTGTGTGAGTTTGGAATTATAGAGGGAGTTTTCGGGGAGATTGGTAAATTTTGGTCAAAAGTCTCTTTCCAAATGAGGGAGGGTTGACAGCTATGCAAAGTAGTATACTGTAACAGATACTAGTAATAACAATGATTTGTTTTGCTCAGTTTTACAGTCGAATACAGGCTGTTTCCCAAGCTAAAAAGTACCTTATTTTCCAAAGAAGGAGGAAATATTCCCAATTTCATTAAAAATAATGCTCTAGTTTCCAAAATCATATAGGAACATGCTGTTGTAAAATCAAGGAAAAAAACACTGAATATGAACAGAGACTATGTGGAAATATTTTCATTTAAAATAAATAAAGTAAAGACTTCTATCAAAAACATCAGACTATTATGTTATAATAATAATATTTTGAGGTTCTTAAATACCACCTTAACACAACCTGGCTGGCAGGTCATCTCAAAGTGGTTCACAAATGATAGGAAATACACTATAGGGAATAATAGGGGGAAATCACAGTCAATAACTGGAATGCTTGGAGCGGAGCCAACATTGTTATATGTGCACATGAACGTGAGTCCCGATAGTTTTTCTTTTATTATAATTTGTTATATTTTCACATAAAAAAATGTGATCTGATACATACATGTATCTGATCATCAAGGACAATCATCAAATTGGATCTTTATGCAGAAAAACATGAATACTACACTCAGTCATAGTTTGAAATTCTATTATAAATATTGAACTGAAGATCAAATGTGTGATTTGCAGGTTCCCTTATAGCCGTAGATCTACATACATGTATAAACATTAGCCACCGTTACACTTTCTGACACTCCAACTCTCGGGTATCTTTGGTTGTTTGTTATCTTTTTACAAACCTATAGCCTTTTCACTTCCACAGGAAACATTACTAAACCAATTGTTTCCTTATAATGCATCTCCACTTGACCTGTTGCTTTCCACTAGGAGCCCCTTGTTTGTTTGGTGTCTCCCAAAGTAAGCACTCCATATATACCCTGATGTTTTCCTTAAACACATCCATTCAGCTTTCATGTAGGGTAACTAACTGTAGGCTTGTTTTTTAGTTAGCACTGGTTAGACCATTGTTTCCCTAAGTACCTCTGGTTGACCCGTGTCTCCCTTAGGTACCACTAGTTAGTTTGTTGTCTGGTTAGCCAATTGTCTCCCTAGGTACCCCTAGTTAGTTTGTTGTCTGGTTAGCCCATTATCGCCATAGGTACCCCTAGTTAGCCGGTTGTCTCCTTAGGTACCACTGATTATATTATATTGTTATTTCCTGAAGTATCCCTGGTTATTTTGTTGTCTACCGAGGTTCCCCTGGTTAGCCAATTGTCTTTTGAATGCCTGTGGTTAGTTTGTTGTATGGTTAGCCAATTGTCTCCCTAGGTACCCCTAGTTAGCCGGTTGTCTGTCTTCTAAGATACCCCTAATTAGCCGGTTGTCTTCTAACTAGGTACCCCTGGTTAGTTTGATTATTATTTGGTTAGCCTGTTTCACCCTAGGTACCCTTAGTTAGCTAGTTGTCTCCTTAGGTACCCCTGGATTTTGTTGTCTAGTTAGCCCATTGTATTCCTAGGTACACCTGGTTAGTTTGATTGTTGACTGGTTAGCCAGTTTCACCCTAGGTACCCCTAGTTAGCTAGTTGTCTCCTTAGGTACCCCTGGTTAGCCAGTTTCATCCTAGGTACCCCTAGTTAGCCAGTTGTCTCCTTATATGATTATTATTAGGTACCCCTGGAGTTTGTTGTCTAGTTAGCCCATTGTATTCCTAGGTACCCCTGGTTAGTTTGTTGTCTCCTTGTATAATTAAGTACCCCTGGTTAGTTTGTTGCCTGGTTAGCCTGTTAACATCTCCTTACATGTAGGTACCCCTGGTTAGCCTTTTGACGTCTCCATGTATAATTAAGTACCCCTGGTTAGTTTGTTGCCTGGTTAGCCTGTTAACGTCTCCTTACATGTAGGTACCCCTGGTTAGCCTGTTGTCTCCTTGTATAATTAAGTACCCCTGGTTAGTTTGTTGCCTGGTTAGTTTGTTAACGTCTCCTTACATGTAGGTACCCCTGGTTAGTTTGTTGTCTCCTTGTATAATTAAGTACCCCTGGTTAGCCTGTTGTCTCCTTGTATAATTAAGTACCCCTGGTTAGTCTGTTGCCTGGTTAGTTTGTTGCCTGGTTAGCCTGTTCACGTCTCCTTACATGTAGGTACCCCTGGTTAGCCAGTTGTCTTCTTAGAGGTATCCCTGGCTAGTTCGTTGTCTCTTAGACACCTATAGTCAACCAGTTTTCTCCCTAGGCAACTCTAGTAAGTCTGTCATATTCTTTAATAGTATGTTCCCTTTGGTATAGCCTGTTTCCTCACTCTTGACACATCTTGTTAGTCTCTTATCTCCATAGCTAAATTAGTGTATGTCTGTAGACACGCTAATGTCATGTGACCCAGTAAGATGCAACAGAATTTATGAAGAAGTAATTATAAAGCCCCAATCAATCAAAATACGACCGTTCATCTTCTGATTGCTTGAAGTTTTAGAATTTGTACACAAAATCACCTGGTTTGGTTATAATACGGATAACAGTCATATATTGAAGGATGGATGCCTTTTATTAGGTTGAATACATGCTGGTGAAATTTGATGACGAGAAGAAGACGGCCCGACTACGTCTGGATGCTGATCGAGTGCTGGCCATTCTACAGCAACAGGAGAAGGAAACTCCCCAGTAAGTCTTAATATTTACAGTTAACACTGAAATTCACTGAATTACCATTGATTATATAATATATTACTGTTTCTTTTCAGGTATTCTTAGATTAAAGGTATTATTCCTTTATATGCCATTGTGTCACATTTATTATTTTATTTTCATTTTCGTTCTATTTCTTGAGGTATTTATTTTTTTAATCAAACAGCGTACCATTGAAGTCTTTGGTGTATTAACCAGGTAATACCTCCATGACACAATAATCTGTTTCTACTTCAAATTTTGGTTCATATTTTTGTTTCTAACCTCAAAATACAACTCGGTTGCCAACATTTAACGTGATACTAAATAAAATCAATGACCTTGTGAAACTGCTGCATCATCTATTATGTGAGAAATGTAGGTCAGAGAAGAAACTTCCAAAGTCATGGCTACGTAAACATATAATATACAGATCACTGAACATGGTCGTGGGCACGTTCACAGATAATCGGAGAGATAATGTTTCTAAGTCTAAAATGATTTTTGTGTTTTGGTAATTGAGAATAGAGTAATTATCATGGAAGATCATTATGAAAAGATTGATTAGTATGGAGGGTAACTGTGAAAAGATTACTTATCATGGAGGTTAATTGTGAAAAGATTACTTGTCATGGAGGTTAATTGTGAAAAGATTACTTATCATGAAGGTTGATTGTGAAAAGTTGAATTATGACTGAGTAACAGTATGAGGACAGTATGAAAAGATTACTTATCATGGAGAGTAACACTGAGTATAACAATAATTCGCACTAGAATTGTTATACACACTGATCAGTATGGACCGGTTACTCATCAGAGCTGTATATGTTTGGGTGATTCAGCACATTCCTGTAACACAGGTAGTTTCCCTCATACTTTGCTGACTCATACCTACAAGTTTTTTATATGTGTACCTGTATAGACGTTCTAGCTGATGTGTTTTGTCTGTATAGTTCTATCCTGAAATGACCGCAGTAAAATGTTTGAATGATCTCTGATCACAAGATCACATGATCATTGGTAGCACTAGTTAGCTGTTTGATCACCAGTATCATTGGTCACATGATCATCAGTATCATTGGTCACATGACCATGATCACAAGTTTTACTGGTCACAAGATCACAGATATCATTGATCACATGATTACCAGTATCATTGGTCACATGATCACCAGTTTCACTGGTCACATGATCATCAGTACCACTAGTCACATGATCATCAATATAACTGATCACATGATCGTCAGTATCACTGGTCACATGCTCATAAGTATCACTAGTCACATGATTTCCAGTATCACTAGTCACATGATCACAAATACCATTGGTCACATGATCACATGATGTTATTGGACATCATTGATTAGAACTGTTTTTATAAAAGTTTCATGCATTATTTATTCATTTACTGAAAATTTCAATATTTTATTCATGAAACTTCTTTAATGTCCATGTTTTTTTTACCACATTTAAGGTTCATGAATTATTCGTTATGTTTCATGTACATTGATTATTTGTATTTATTTCACAAGGAAATGTTTCAGTGTGCTCACTGTATTTACATTTTGTTCAAATTATTCATATGACTTCACTTTTTGTTGTATTATTGTCTAGCGACCATCCGTCGACATGGCGACCGGAGTATGCATCCTACATGGTGGAGGGTACCCCTGGCAAACCATACGGCGGACTCTTTGCCCACTTCAATGTGGTGGAGGCCAATATGAAACTAAGGTTAGAGATTACAGTTCAAAGGTTATCTCATTAAAAGGATAGAAATGAATATGTTTGATAATACAAGTAGCTCACTTGGTTAGTGTCCGGTTAGAGTTTGGCGGTCCCTGGTTCAAATCCCTGTCTAGCCCTGCATTTCTCTTTCTCCTGTTGCAAATATGGCATCAAACGAAATATGCTCACAGAGGTTGGTATAGGGTCTCATGTGTCTTCAGTGTCAAAGACCTTGTGGAAGGAGGGAGGAATATATGTAGCGAAAGTGGACTGGGTTCATCACCTGTTACCAGGTAGCTCACCTGGTTAGAGCGTCGGGTTAGAGTTTGGTGGGTCCCGGGCTCAAAGCTGTCTGGCTGTGCTTTTCTCTTTCTCTTTTTACAAATTTTGCGAGAGGGTATAGGGTCTTGTGTGTCTTGACTTTGTTGAGGGAAAGAGGAATTCAGTGGAACTGGACTGGGTCAATCAACTGTGACCAGGTAGCTGAATTGGTTAGAGCATTCAGGGGATCTTGGGTTCGAATCCCAGTCTGGCTATGCTTTTTCAAGTGAAAGTCCACAGAAAGTCCACAGAATCCAGAAAATGTCTTGATGACCCTATGGTCAATTATAAGGAACAGTCTTCTTGGAATGAGACAATAAGTGGTTTCTTCGGAACCCTTAGAGTCAGGAGGCTGTTTTCATGGCTCCAGGGTCTGGAAATGGTCTGCATAGTCACAGAGGCAGTGAGTAGCTTGCATGGCCCCATAGTGAAAACAGTTTCTATGATCCCAGATTTTGGAAACTGTTTTCCTGGTTTCGGGGATATTGATAAATTTTCATGGGCAAATATGGATTTAGAAAAATGGTACATGACTTGGAAAATTCCCATGCAAACCCAAGATCTAGCAACATTCTCACTCTTTTGAATAAATTGATGAATTTAGACTTTTATCTTTTTTTCTGCAGGAGAGAAGAAATTCAGAAATGCCTTGGACCAAATGAAGTACCACTAAGTTTGACCTCCTACCCTAGGTAAACAATACCTGTACCTGTAATAAAAAAAAAAAAATGGACTGCATCCCAGCTATCATATCAATTATTAACTTACCTGTAAATGAATACCTTAAAAAAAATCTGTAATCAATTGTGAACCTCACCAATCAATTATGCAATCTTGAAATGAATGCCAAGAATAATTTGTGATACTTCACAGATCTGTTTTGTAATAAGTGAAAGAGAAATTTATTAAATTTTGAAATAAGTAACTAAATTTTGTTATGAGTCTGCAATGACGCATTGTACCAAATGTATTTAATTACAACAGATGATTTCCTAAGCGATTTTTTGACACAAACAAAAGTTTGTGTCCTTGAAATGTTTTAAAGATAGGACAATTGTTACTTTAAGTCCCGTTATTTCAGCCTCCTGGCCTTCTTCAAGGGCGTAAATAAATGTTTGATTCTATAGTAACCTTCATCTTGCTTCCTCGGAAGTAGAGGAAATGACATATAAAAGGTATGACGACACCACTGACATGATGGCTGTTGTACACTGCATTTGTTATTCCAGGACTGGGAGTGGCGTGTTCTCCGATCCCCCGACCTACACCGATCCTGCCAACAGTGCCTCCCGCTCACTCTTCTACCCCGACCAAGTTGTTTTCCTCGGACATCCACGCTTCTTGTAAGTTTTTGTTGTCTATTTGCAGACATCAACACTCCAAGTATTTATTTATTTATTATTCAGACTTCTACACTCCTTGTAAATTTTGTTTTCTACCCCATTTATGCCAAGAAAAATGAAGTGTATCATATCCATATGAAATTATTTTAAGGTTTTCTAAAAAAAAAATACATTTTGATATTCTTTTTAATTGAATTCAAGGATAAGTTTTTCTGACCATCTGATATGAAAAATGAACATGTCATCCAACAAGTATAAGGTCCATAGTTAGAATGTGATGTTGATTTCATGTCCATCATGTTGTTTACAAACAAATCTAAATCATGAAAAATAGGGGAATAAAATGTAAACATAGCTGTCAAGGGAGAGTCCCTACCTCCCATAGCTGTCAACCCTCCCTCATTAGGAGGGAGACTCCCTCCCATAGCTGGCAACCCTCCCTCATGTGGAGGGAAACTCCCTCCCATAGCTGGCAACCCTCCCTCATTAGGAGGGAGACTCCCTCCCATAGCTGGCAACCCTCCCTCATGTGGAAGGAAACTCTCTCCCATAGCTAGCAACCCTCCCTCATTAGGAGGGAGAATCCCTCCCATAGCTGGCAACCCTCTCGTGTGGAGGGAGACTCCCTCCCATAGCTGGCAACCTTCCATCATGTGGAGGGAGACTCCCTCCCATAGCTGTCAACCCTCCCTCATGTGGAGGGAGAGTCAATCCCATAGCTGGCAACCCTCCCTCATTAGGAGGGAGACTCCCTCCCATAGCTGGCAACCCTCCCTCATTAGGAGGGACACTCCCTCCCATAGCTGGCAACCCTCCCTCATTAGGAGGGAGCCTCCCTCCCATAGCTGGCAACCCTCCCTCATTAGGAGGGACACTCCCTCCCATAGCTGGCAACCCACCCTTCATTTTGACCAAAATTTACCTCCTCTCAAAGTCTTCTCATTCAAGTCCAAACTCACACAAACTCTAAATCTACATTCTGTGATCAAGTGATCTCCTAGTTACTGCAGGGTGGGTGTAATGATCATAACAGGTGTGTCTGAATCAAATGGATGCTATTGGGAGTTATTTTCATACATAGAAAAGGAAAAATAAATTGAGGAAAAGCAGTTTCAAATTCATGCACTTTCTCCCTTATTGGAATTGTGGAATGAGGGAGATCTCCCTCATTGGAGGTTTCAGAGGTTGACACCTATATGTGTTAACTCATTTACCCCTGAAGACACATTTGAACTCTTCCAATTCAAAGGTTGGCATAGTTCATTATGAACTTTCAGGGGTGAATGAGTTAATATATAGGTATGACATCCAAAAGCCACATCTAAACTGTAACAGTTAAATTTTAGCTAGTCCCCCAATACTACACTTTTTCTTGGCACAGTATGTGTAATGTTATACTTTAACTTCTGATCGGTTGAAGTTGCTTGGCGATGAAGTTACTGCACAATGTTGAGTTTTGTGCATAATTATTATTTTACTGTCAGAAATGAATATATATTCATAACCTATGAACTAATGAAGTATTGTTTGTCTTTTTAAAATTAAACTATAAGGGATGACTATGATTATTTTGGGGGTTATACGGTATATATATACAGAAAAAAAAACATGTGCACTTTTATTACCGTATTTAACTAAATTATCTGGCTGTGTATAAACTGTATACGTTATAGTCTATTGGAACAGTGGTATACCCATCTTAACCCTTTCACCCCTATATAACTTTAGTAGACTCAAACATGTATTGATCTGAATGAGTCCATTATGGTCTATAGTGGTGAAAGGGTTACCCCATTGTACTGGTCGAGATATTTTACTGTGACATTAATTTGATGCAATAAAGAATATCAAATAATCTACAAAAAAATATATGTCTTTATTAAAAGAAACAATTTCTTTACTTTTTACAGAACATTGACAAGAAACATCCGAGAAAGACGCGAAGAAAAAGTGTGCATCAATATTCCGGGTAGGTTGGTCATCATCTGTTTCCTGTTAAAGGTCAACTTTCAGTTTTGATAGAGGTTAAAGTCTGAATGTGCCATTTCAAGGTAACATCTTTGAAAAACTTCATCTCAAGTTCAACTAAGTCTAGAGTCTTGATATTTGATCTGTATGCATGCTCAGGTGATTGACTATCAAGTTTAAAAGTATGATCCACCTTGATCAGCTTTCAAGGGCACAAGGATCTAACAGGTCGAAATATTCAAACAATCTCTTGTAAATAACATATAAGGAAGAAGCCTAGGTCTATGGTATTTGGCAAGGAGCATTCTGGAACAAAGGGATTAAAAATGGTTTCAACGCATGAAATATGACTATATCAGTGACTGCCAAAATCAGTCTTCAATAAAATAAAAAAAATAGAAATTATAATTTTGGCATTGTATCAGTAATTTCAGTACTTTGATCTTCTTTAAACGAAAAAAGAAAGCTACTTTCAGTACTATAGTTTATATCACCCTTTTCTTCATAGAAGGTAAAAACCATGAGGGTAAAATTCAGTTTTAGATCAAAGACCATGTCAGTTCTAACGGGCTTTTAGAAAAGCCCGTCAAATTGTTACCAACAGTTTATAGTTGTTACCAAGGTATTCACTTTGTTAATTTACATGCTGATTTCCATTCACATCTCAACAATGAAATCGAACTACCTTTAATATAACTCAGGTGACTGTTAAGGCTCCTGGGCCTCTTGTAGTTTTAAAACACAGACCTTTTGATTTTGTCACTTATTGAGATTCTTCACTTTATGAAGAACTCTCCAGACCATTGGTGGGATTTCTGATGCTGTGTACAATATGAGTACACTAGGTCCCACTTATTATAATATTTTTCATGTACAAAAGCAAACAAGTTAAAAAAAAACAGGTGCTGCGGTGGCCGAGCGGTTAAGGTGTCTGACCGTATCGATCACTAGCCCTCCACCACCGGGTAACTGGTTTGAAGCCTACATGTGTTAGTTGCCAGTTACTGGCCACAGGGCAGTGTTTTTTCTACGGGAACTCCGGCTTTCCTCCACCACCAAAACCTTGCATGTCCTTAAATGACTATCGCTGTGATTAGGACATGGAAACACAAACAAACCAAAAAACAACAATAATGCTCTTTATAACATGGTTTAACATGCAAGCTTTTGTAAGTTCTAAACCTGGGTAAATATTCCTCGTATGACATCTGGGCCTGTATTCATGAAACTGTTCTCATGCCCAAGCATGGTTTTTGTGCTCAAGTCGACTTTCTTGTAACCTGTTTAAATCATGTAACATAAAGTGGCCAAAAGTTGAGAGTAAACACTCCAAACACTTAAAAGCTTAAAGTCTATAAAAGTTCTTACATTTCATTGACGAAATATGATTATATATTAATTTATCACTGGAACCAGAGATTGAGCTTAATCATGACCACACAATGTCGGTTTGAGCAGTGAGAACGGTTTCATGAATACAGGCCCTGGACAATTAAGCACTTATTGCATCAGCTGATGTCACATTGAGTCAGCACAGTTCTCCAGTAAGGTTTTTCACACCTCACTCTTACCCAAGATTAGCGAGATACAACAAGTTAATTATATGATGTCTCTTACCTTGCGGCCTGTTTAATGTTCTAACAAACGTTTGCAGTAGCTTATACAGCTACTTAAAATTGACCCTTAAGGTTAATTAGTGTATAGATTGGACAATGGTCCCTGCCGGCAAGTATCAGGCATTTTGTTAAAAAAACGAACCTTATTTATTTTACAACAATAGTTGTTCCAGCTTATATTAATCACACTTGTTGGCCATATATAAGCGCCTTAATGTGGAAGACAACTGTAGTACCTAGAGAAAACCTGCATTAATTGGCGAGCAGATGACCCATACCTTTTCATGTCCGACTGGGAAATTGAACCCAAGCTGCCTTGAATTGGTGTCAGAAAGGAAAGTGGTGTGTTATCAACTATGCAATTCGACCACCCAATTTTGTTATGTCTAGTTCATGAACTTTATGAATATTCATGTTCATGTTAATAAGCTATGTGGGAAATCTATGCCGATGTTAACAAATATGTTATATTTGAAGGAAGAGTTTTTTTCTAATTATTTAAACATTTGTGTTCCTTGGTCATACTTAAATGTGTTTTCAAGCAACAACAAGCATTGTCAGACAAGATCTCTAAAAATACTATATACAGAAGGCAACAACAACAGAAGTTATGTTATTTATAAGGATTTAATTCTCTGTACAATTAAAGTCTCAGTTTGAGTTGGAGCTATTAGTATGATGAATTAAATTTTATGATTGACTATGAGATACAAGTGTTGCAGATTCTAATTGTATATAGGATTGCTGTTCCCTTCTAGCTTCACACTAGAGGTAGTTTCCCTTTCGCTCAGTGGTAAAGCGTCCCACTAGGAAGTTTGGGATTGCGAGTTCAATCCCAAGTCGAAGCACACTACCCTCTTTCCCGTTATAAATAGTGTCCATGGCCCTTCCTATGGTGACAGAGAGTTAGAACCTTAGCTGTGGTGTTCGAGGGCGAACATATTTAAAAAGGGGGGAGTACTTCAATTGTACATAGGATTCACACTAGTTTGAATTTCCCTTTCGCTCAGTGGTAGAGCGTCCGACTAGGAATTTTGGGATTGCGGGTTCGATCCCCAGTCGAAGCACACTACTCTCCTCCTGTTACACGAGTGCTTGTATAGAGCATTACTGATTACATCACGTTCTAGACTGTATCACTGAAATTAATCTATAAAGAAAGCAACGTAACATTAGAACAAACATTTTTAGGTCACCTGAGACAAAGTCTCAAGTGACCTACTGCGATCGACCATTTGTCCGGCGTCGTGCATCGTCTGGCCAGCGTCCATAAACAATTTACATTTTCGACTTCTTCTCAAAAACTCGGAACCAACTGTAATGAAATATGGTAGAATCATATACTCTTCATAGATAGAACGGTCTTAAGGTGCTTTACCAAAATTGTGAATTTCATGACCCTGGGGTCTAATGTTTACCCCTGGGGAGGGGGTAAACTTTACTAGAGTTAAATAGGGAAATCACATTTTTGACCAACATTTGTTTAATTTCCATTGGAAGTAATTCAATTTGGGTTAGCACTATCAGTATTGGATAGCAGTTTGATGGTATGCATGTATCAGCCCTGACAGACCCCCAGAGGCTGATGGGTTGGGCCATAATTTATTATGGTTTATATTGGCAAATGATACTTTGGATATTACATGTTGATAACTTGATTGGAATTATAACACTGAGTTGACAGTTTGATACTTTGAAAATTTTGAGCCAGCCCTACCCCCAAGGGCTGTAGGGTGGGGCCCAAATGAGTCAGTATGCTAAAATGTCTTCATTTTCCTTGTTTAGAATCAGAGGTGCTAGCACATATATATAGTTTCAAATACTTTTCAGTCTTTGATCTGTATGCTAGATATTGAATAAGGTGGTTTTATTGTTTTTTGTCACTTTGAATAATATTTCTGTTCATGTTTTAAAAACAAAAATCAACTCTCTGTTCCCATGGAACTCTTGTTTTATGATAATTATACATTAAAATTTGCAGTTTCATATGTTTGTTAAATAGGCCCAGTTATGACGAATTATAGTTTTACTATCACCAGCGCCATGTAACATCTGTGTTTTAGAGCTTCACAGTCGACCAAGTCTCTACAAACTGCATCACTGAAATTAAACATTGAGTCACATCAAAAGTCAATATATGGGAAATTATCAAGCTAATTGATCAATTTAATTTTCATGATGCACAGAAGTTTTACGGCGTGTCACACATGCATGACTTCACAGACATGAACACAGTTAGACTTGACTATATCGCTGTATACAATTTTTTAAAACACTTCGTTGGTGCAATGGTATATTATTAAAACATTTTGTGCATAAGATCGTCATCAGAATAAATAATATTTAACTCAATTCAATGAAGAACTGCCAGTCCTTCTCTTGAAAAAATAAGGTTTCCAGACCCTTCGGACGCTGACGAGGTAGATCTACCCCGGGTCATTTATATATATGTGACTGTATCCGTTTAAAATAGATATTTAATAAAAAACAATGTATGGCTATTTACAAAAGTGGAGTTAGGTGGAGGGTGCAACAGAATCAGTTAGCTGAAAGTTCCCCCTAAAAGACAAATATGAAGTAGAGGTATTTTAGATCTATTTCATATTTTCACCGAAAGATTTGTTCTAATTAGGAGGGCAAGAATATAAGCTAGCTACTTGTATCTAATCACCAGCAGTTAGCCAATTTAGGCCAGAAATGCGAACCCCTTTATGCTGTTTATAGTAATAGTTATAATATACAGCATTTGATATAGCACCCTATAGCTATCTAGCTAAACTAAGCCACTCTAAAGCACTTTACAGTACATACATATACAATTTATACAATACAATTAGCACATACATTAATCAATACAATTTAGAGGAATTCGAAGGAGCTGCCTTATCAGGTGCTAACTACTAGTCCTATATCTAGTAATATCTCCCTATGTGTGTATACCTGCATGTGTGCTGGAGATGTATTGTGTTCTGTTTGTAGTGGGAATGTGCTTCAAACGGTATCATTTATAGTGTCACCACGCTTGAATGCAACAACACAGATACAACAACATCCACCCCAGACCATTTTATACTCCACCCGGGTTGTTGGAGTTGTGTGGGCAGGAGAAAAACACTTTCTCTGAATATTCCATGCATACGACAACTTCGGGGATTGAACCCCGGTCGCCTGTGTGGAAGGCCGGAGTGTTAACCACTCGACCAATCCGCCCTTTATAAACTCCTATTAGTCATATATAGCTATTTACCCTTCAACGATTTTGTTTTGTTTGTGTTTCATATCCTTTTAACAGCTATAGTCATTTAAGGATGTGCCAGGTTTTCGTGGTGGAGGAAGGCCACAGTTCCCGGAGAAAAACCAACAACCTACAGCCAGTACCTGGCATCTGCCCCACGTAGGTCTCAAACCCGCAACCATGAAACGGAGGGCTAGTGGTAGCAAAGTGTCAGACGTATTAACCACTTGGCCACTGCGGCCCCCTCCCTCCATTTAACGAGTAACAAATAACACCTAACATGATGTCATCTGTGAGTTTCAAAAGATCTGATAGACCTTTTTCAATGGATTGATATATGTATATAACTTTTGGTTTTACAGTATTCAAGGATACCAACACCAAATCACCATTTGTAGAAGATTACCTCCCCTTGAAGGATGATGGAGAGGGCGCTGCTGCAGCACTGCCGGACCACATTTACATGGACTGTATGGGCTTCGGGATGGGCTGCTCTTGTCTCCAGGTGACATTCCAGGCCTGCAACATTGATGAGGCCCGGTACCTCTACGACCAGCTCACCCCGCTATGTCCCATACTGGTGAGTCACTGTCTCTGCTGAGTGCTTAACCCTTTCAACACTGTAGACCATAATGGACTCATCCATATCAATACATGGAAGAGTCTACTAAAGTTACATAGGGGTGAAAGGGTTAACTTCAGAACATTTATCCCAAGTTAAGATCCTCTACCTACAAAACACAGGATGATTCCCTATTTATTCCCATACTTTCCTATAGAAAAAAAATATTTCAAATTATGATACTGGTTACCAGGAAATTTTTGCCCACCGTAATGAGGGCAAGTTTATCATCACAGCAAACATTAGTGACAACATCATATGTTATCTAATGGGAGGGGCAAAAATTAGTGCTGGGAGAAAATTGATTTCATAGGCGAAGGGGGAAAGTTTGACTGGATGAACATTTCCCAGCATACAGTAGTGAACCCAGTGCCATGTTACCATCAAAGGTTCATAAAACATGCGGAAAAATTGATTTTACAAATCTGACATCACTGCCTGAAATCAACCTGGAGTACATAATTTTGAACTTTTTCCAGATTCCATTCCTCTGTAGACCCATTTTTGGTTTTTTTCCAGTTTCCATCCCTCGATCTGTAGACCCATTTTTGATTTTTTTTTCCATATTAATTGCACTGCATTCAGTTTGATAGAACATCTTACATATCACTTACTTATGTTGCGACCATGTTGTTTCTATGCATATTTGGAAAGTTAATTGTCTAAGGGAGATCACTCTATCTATATATTGTTTCAGCTGGCCCTCAGTGCAGCCTCACCTGTGTACAGAGGCCACCTTGCTGATATAGATGCTCGGTGGACAGTCATCTCACAGTCTGTAGATGACCGAACGAAGGAGGAGAGAGGGGAGAAGGTATGCTGTTAAAATATATCACTATGGTTACATGAGAAGTGTAGGGAGAAAGAATGTTGTTTAAAATATCACCATGGTTACAAGAGAGAGGGGAGAAGGTATATTGTTTAAATTATCACTATGGTTACAAGAGAGATGGGAGAAGGTATGTTATTAAGATTTGTGACTATGGTTACAAGAGAGAGGGGAGAAGGTATGTTATTTAGATTTGTGACCATGGTTACAAGAGAAGGGTAGGGAGAAAGAATGTTGTTTGAAATACCACTATGGTTACAAGAGAGAGGGGAGAAGGTATGTTATTAAGATTTGTGACTGGTTACAAGAGAGGGGATAGAAGATATATTGTTTAGATTGATCACTATGGTTACAAGAGATAAGGGAGAATTAAAAGGTATGTTATGAACATTTATCACTTTGGCAACAATAGAGAAGGAAGACAGCTTGTTATTTAGATTTATCACTTTGGTTACAGGACAGAGGGGAAAAAGAATATTGTTAAAATTTATCACTATGTAACATGATGAGGGAAGAAAGTATGGTGTTTAGATATATCTCTATGGTTACAGGATGAGGGGTTTGCAGGATTTAAATTTGTTTCTGTGTATAGGCTAAGCTTGTCAGTGAGTTTTTATAAATAATGATGGGATCTTGTTTTATATGAATACAGTTTCCAACTGTTTTTATGCAATGTGATGTGACATTATTTTGAGGCTGAATTTCTCATTTGAAATATTGGTTGATGTTAATTTCATGTAATATTCCACCATGGCTTTTCTATGAAATTGTTACTGTATTGTGATATATGAATTTTACATGTGAGTCTTAATCTCTCAATCAATTTTATTTTTCAGGAGTTAAAAAATAACAAATACCGCATCACCAAGTCACGGTACGATAGTATTGATAGCTACCTAATGGAAATGAATGAGGCCTACAATGATGTTGAACTATGTATAGACCAGGATCTCTGTAACGAGCTACAGGAAGCAGGTACTGTAGCATGATAGACTAATAATTCTGTAACGAGCTACAGGAGACAGGTACTGTAACATGTATAGACTAATAATTCTGTAACGAGCTACAGGAGGCAGGTACTGTAACATGTATAGACCAGTAATTCTGTAACGAGCTACAAGAGGCAGGAACTGTAACATGTATAGACCAGTAATTNAACATGTATAGACCAGTAATTCTGTAACGTGCTACAGGAGGCAGGTACTTTAACATGTATAGACCAGTAATTCTGTAACGTGCTACAGGAGGCAGGTACTTTAACATGTATAGACCAGTAATTCTGTAACGTGCTACAGGAGGCAGGTACTGTAACATGTATAGACCAGGAACTCTGTAACGAGCTACAGGAGACAGGTTCTGTAACATGTATAGACCAGGAACTCTGTAACGAGCTACAGGAGACAGGTTCTGTAACATGTATAGACTAATAATTCTGTAACAAGCTACAGGAGACAGGTTCTGTAACATGTATATACCAGGAACTCTGTAACAAGCTACAGGAGACAGGTTCTGTAACATGTATAGACCAGGAACTCTGTAACGAGCTACAGGAGACAGGTTCTGTAACATGTATAGACCAGGAACTCTGTAACGAGCTACAGGAGACAGGTTCTGTAACATGTATAGACTAATAATTCTGTAACAAGCTACAGGAGACAGGTTCTGTAACATGTATATACCAGGAACTCTGTAACAAGCTACAGGAGACAGGTTCTGTAACATGTATAGACCAGGAACTCTGTAACGAGCTACAGGAGACAGGTTCTGTAACATGTATAGACCAGGAACTCTGTAACGAGCTACAGGAGACAGGTTCTGTAACATGTATAGACTAATAATTCTGTAACAAGCTACAGGAGACAGGTTCTGTAACATGTATATACCAGGAACTCTGTAACAAGCTACAGGAGACAGGTTCTGTAACATGTATAGACCAGGAACTCTGTAACGAGCTACAGGAGACAGGTTCTGTAACATGTATAGACCAGGAACTCTGTAACGAGCTACAGGAGACAGGTTCTGTAACATGTATAGACTAATAATTCTGTAACAAGCTACAGGAGACAGGTTCTGTAACATGTATATACCAGGAACTCTGTAACTCTGTTAAGGATGTCACTGTAATGTAAAAATCAAATACTATATATAATGGAGGATGTGTAACCTAGGACACCTGTTTATACCAGATCTATATTTGTATGTTACTTGTACAGGTATAGACCGGACAATGTCGTGACACATAGCACACCTGTTTATACCAGATCTTTATTTGTATGTTACTTGTGCAGGTATAGACCGGACAATGTCTCGACACATACCACACCTGTTTATACCAGATCTATATTTGTATGTTACTTGTACAGGTATAGACCGGACAGTGTCGCGACACATATCACACCTGTTTATACCAGATCTATATTTGTATGTTACTTGTACAGGTATAGACCGGACAATGTCTCAACACATACCACACCTGTTTATACCAGATCTATATTTGTATGTTACTTGTACAGGTATAGACCGGACAATGTCGTGACACATAGCAGACCTGTTTAAACCAGATCTATATTTGTATGTTACCTGTACAGGTATAGACCAGACAATGTCGCGACACATAGCACACCTGTTTATACCAGACCTATATTTGTATGTTACTTGTACAGGTATAGACCGGACAATGTTGCGACACATAGCACACCTGTTTATACCAGATCTATATTTGTATGTTACTTGTATAGGTATAGACCGGACAATGTCGCGACACATAGCACACCTGTTTATACGAGACCCAATCTCCCTGTTCAGTGAGAAGGTTAACCAGGACGACAGTTCTGACACGGACCACTTTGAGGTGAGCTCCAAATTTTAACATTTTAATCTAATTACTGACAGAATAAACTGTGTTCAGTTATAAGTTTTGTTTATTTTGATGTTGTTTTTTTTCTAACAAAACTTTGATTTACAAAAAAGCAATCGGGTACTATGAAACATTCTCCAATGAATCATTATTATTGTTAAGAGATATTATCTAGCTCTTCGTAAAATTGGAAACAAAAGCTTGGTTCTTTACTTTCAGAATATTCAGTCAACGAATTGGCAGACCATGCGGTTCAAGCCGCCTCCTCCTAACAGTGATATTGGCTGGAGAGTGGAATTCAGACCAATGGAAGTAAGATTGAGCCACCATATACTATATCATTGACTGGAGATTTGGGTACCTTCCAATATTAATTGATTGTTACAAGGGAGATAACTGATGTTGTTACTGAGGAAGATTAACATGTAAAATGCAGGGAAATGACATCAGTTATTAATAAAATACTAGGGAGATATTCTTTTCAAGAATAAAAAGCTTACAACTGGATGTTGATATAACAAGGGAGATAACTTGTTATAATAGAGATGAATGACAGCCGCTTTAGATAATACAATGGAGCAAACTCGTTATAATAGAGATGAATGACAGCTGTTTTTGATAACACAAGGGAGATTACTTGTTATGATACAGAAAAATGACAGCAGCTTTTGATAACACAAGGGAGACAACTTGTTATAATAGAGATAAATGACAGCAGCTTTTGAAAATACAAGGGAGATAACTTGTTATAATAGAGATGAATGACAGCTGCTTTTGATAACACAAGGGAGATAACTTGTTATAATAGAGATGAATGGTAGCAGCTTTTGATAATACAAGGGAGATAACTTGTTTTAATAGAGATAAATGACAGCAGCTTTTGATAACACAAGGGAGATAACTTGTTAAGATAGAGATAAATGACAGCAGCTTTTGATAATACAATGGAGAAAACTCGTTATAATAGTTATGAATGACAGCTGTTTTTGATAACACAAGGGAGATTACTTGTTATGATACAGAAAAATGACAGCAGCTTTTGATAACACAAGGGAGACAACTTGTTATAATAGAGATAAATGACAGCAGCTTTTGAAAATACAAGGGAGATAACTTGTTATAATAGAGATAAGTGACAGCTGCTTTTGATAACACAAGGGTGATAACTTGTTATAATAGAAATAAATGACAGCTGCTTTTGAAAATACAAGGGAGATAACTTTTTAAGATAGAGATAAATGACAGCTGCTTTTGAAAATAAAAGGGAGATAACTTGTTATAATAGATATAATAACAGCAGCTTTTGATAACACAAGGGAGATCACTTGTTTTTAACACAAGGGAGATAACTTGTTATAATAGAGATAAATGACAGCTGCTTTTGAAAATACAAGGGAGATAACTTGTAATAATAGAGATAATAACAGCAGCTTTTGATAACACAAGGGAGATCACTTGTTATAAAAGAGATGAATGACAGACGCCTTTTATAATACATGGGAGATAACTTGTTATAATAGAGACAAATGACAGCAGCTTTTGATAACACAAGGGAGATAACTTGCTATGATAGATATAAATGATAGCTGCTTTTGATAATACAAGAAAGATAAATTGTTATCAGAGATATAAATAACAGCTGCTTTCCATATAGATATATAAAATGACAGCAGCTTTTGATAATACACATTTCCAAGGAGGGAGAAAGTGAGTGAAACGAGACTGAAATTGCTTTTCTCAATTTATTTTTCCCATTTTATGTATCAAACTAACTCCAAAAAGCATTAATATGATTCAGACACACCTGTTATGATCATTACACACACCCTGCAGTAACTAGGAGATCTAGATCACTTGATCACAGAATGTAGATTTCAAGTTAAGTGTGAGTTTGGACTTGAATGAGGGAGTTTCGAGGGAGAGTGGTAAATTTTGGTCAAATGAGGGAGTCTCCCTCCTTATGCATTACTGTGGAGAAATGTAGTGTTGTAGTAATATAGATATAATTGTTGTTACAGGTGCAGTTATCTGACTTTGAAAATGCTGCTTATACCGTATTTATTGTTCTGCTGACCAGGGTCATCTTGACCTATAACCTCAACTTAGTAGTACCCATATCAAAGGTGAGAGGTCAAATTATTTTGTTACAGGTCTTCATAGTTATACTTCTATCAAAGGTTAGAGGTCAACATAGATATACTTCTATCAGAGGTTGTAGGTCAAAATAGTTATACCTGTATCAAAGGTTAGAGGTCAACATAGTAATACTGATATCAAAGGTGAGAGGTCAAGATAGTAATACTTCTATCAAAGGTTGGAGGTCAACATAGTTATACTGATATCAAAGGTTGGAGGTCAACATAGTTACACCTCTGTCATAGATGGAAGGTCATTTTATTAAAACCTTTATAAAAAGTGAGAAGTCAACATATTAATACATTTATGAAATGTGACAAGTCAGCATATTTATACCTTTAGAAAAGGTGAGAGGTCAATATATTAATACCCATATTAAAGGTAAGAGGCTATCTTATTAATACCCATATCAATGCGACTTAATGTTTCTCTTGCAATGTGGTGTACAATCCGTTTGAGGTGCTCTTGTAGTTATTCTGTTGAATATAAATATATACATTCTGTTAAAATGTATTTCTATATATTCTTTGTTTGTTTGTTTGTTTGATTTTGTTTAACGTCCTATTAACAGCTAAGGTCATTTAAGGACGGCCTCCCCTGTGTGCAAGATGCATGCGTGTAGTGTATGTGTGTGTATTTTGGGAGGCTGCGATATGTTCGTGTTTGTCTCCTTGTGATAGCGCGGAACTGATGCCGACTTTATAGTGCTACCTCACTGAAACATACTGCCGAAGACACCCAGCAGGACGCCCCACCCGGTCACATTATACTGACAACGGGCGAACCAGTCGTCCCACTCCTAATTTGCTGAGCGTTAAGCAGGAGTAGAAACTACCATTTTTAAAGACTTTGGTATGTCTCGGCCAGGGGACAGAACCCAAAGCCTTCCTCACAGGGGCGAACGCTCAACAAATGGCCAAAAGTGAGGCATTGTCAAGGGAGACATTAGGAAGAAGAAAGTTATTTAGAAAGGAGAGAAGAGATAAGGTCCCAAATTTAGTCGCCTCTTACGATCATGCAATTGGGGGCAGCAGGTACAATTCTTACGCCCTACCTGCAGAGTCATCTATATATTCTACTTAAATAAGAAACTAAGAGATGGATATCAACCATATTTGACTGGAAGCATCCATAGGTGGTAGGGATTCAAAATTGTACAAATGGTGGGACTGACCCCCCAGGGGGCTGAGGGGCGGGCCAAAAGGGGGCAATTTGGCTATATTGCTATAAACGACTTCTTCTCTAGAACTATGCCATCAATATCGATCATATTTGGACAGAAGCATTCATGGGAAGCAAGGATTCAAAATTGTACAAATGGTGGGGCTGACCCCCCGGGATATGGGGTGGGGCCAAAAAATGTTTATTACTTGGAAATGGTTGAGATCCCCACCATATTACCAGTTATACAATTGCTGAGTTTAAAGAGAAGAATGCACATTTGCTTCCAGGATGGCCCTAGGGTCTGGCCCCACCCTTGGAGACATATATATAGTCCTTGGGCCATAACTTGAAAACGGTTGAGATCCCTACCCCAAAACTATATATACAAATGCTGGGCATAAGGAGACGAATGCAGTCATGATATAAGAATAGACCCTGGGGTCTGACCGAACCCCTAGGGACCTAGTTTCTTAGTCACATCTTGGAAACAGTTGAGATCCCCACCCTATAACCATATATACAATTGCTGAGTATAAAGAGATGAATGCACATATGCTTCCAGGATGGCCTTGGGGACTGCCCCACCCTTGGAGACTTAACCCCTGGGTCATAACTTCGAAATGGTTAAGATCCCCACCCAAAACTATATATACAAATTACAATTGTTGGGCATAAAGAGACGAATGCAGTCATGATATTAGAATTGATCCCAGGGTCTGCCTCACCCTTGCAGACATAACCCCTGGTTCATAACTTTGAAACTGTTCAGGATCCCCAACCCAAAACTATATATACAAATGCTGGGGGAAAAAAGAGACAAATGCAGTCATGATATTAGAATTGATCCTGGGGTCTGGCCACAACCCTAGGGACCTAGTTTCTGAGTCACAGCTTGGGATCTCCCTAGGGACCTAGTTTCTGAGTCACAGCTTGGAAACAGTTGAGATCCCCACCCCATAGCCATACATTAAATTGCTGAGCATGAAAAATCTAATACAGATATGCTACAAGAATTGAATGACCTTGGTGTCTGGCATATTCTCTTGGATCTCATTTGGAGAATATTTTGCCATGATTGCTTAGATATCCAGGTGAGCGATACAGGCCCTCTGGGCCTCTTGTTGTATTAGTATAGATATAATGTTTATCAGTTGACAGGTAAATGAAAAAATGTAAGTTGATGTAACTGTTTGCAGTTCATAATATAAGCAGAAAATAACACATTAATTAGTATTATTATAGATATAATGTTTGTCAGTTGACAGGTAAATGAAAAAATGTAAGTTTAAGTTGATGTAACTGTTTTGCAGTTCATAATATAAGCAGAAAATAACACATTAATTAGTATTTACCTTTCAACAGGTAGATGTTAAAACACAATAATCAATGTTTACCTGTCAACAGGTAGATGTTAAAACACTATTCAATGTTTACCTGTCAACAGGTTGCAGATAAAACATTAATTAATGTTTACCTGTCAACAGATAGATGATAAAACACTAATTAATGTTTCCCTGTTAACAGGTAGATGAAAAAACACTAATTAATGTTTACCTGTCAACAGGTAGATGATAAAACACTGATTAATGTTTACCTAACAGCAAGTAGATGATAAAACACCAATCAATGTTTACCTGTTAACAGGTAGAAAAAAAAACACCAATTAATGTTTACCTGTCAACAGGTAGATACTTAAAAACTAATTAATGTTTACTTGTTAACAGTTAGATAATTGAAAACTATTCAATGTTTACTTGTTAACAGGTAGAAGATAAAACAATAATTAATGTTAACCTGTTAACAGGTAAATGATAAAACACTAATCAATGTTTACCTGTTAACAGGTAGATGATAAAACACTAATCAAGGTTTACCTGTTAACAGGTAGATGATAAAACACTAATCAATGTTTACCTGTCAACAAGTAGATGATAAAACATTAATTAATGTTTACTTGTCAATAGGTAGAAGAGAAAACACTAATCAATGTTTATCTGTCAACAAGTAGATGATAAAACACTAATCAATGTTTACCTAAAAACAGGTAGAAGAGAAAACACTAATGAATGTTTACCTGTCAACAGGTAGATGAGAACCTGAAGACAGCGCACCAGAGAGATGCAGTGTTGGATGGCAAGTTCAATTTTAGAAAAGAACTTTTCACAGGTGAGTATGGTTAGCAACCACAATAGATTGTACTCGGAACTCATTCTGATAAAACTGATCGACTGGTCAAATTTCCGACAATTTTTCACTAAGAGCGTTTCTTTACCGTGATCTATCCTGTTGCATATAATGGTGTTACCGATATTCAAATACATTACATGTATTACTTAATGTTACCTTGTAACATACATTGTGACCTAGGTTATGATGAACTTTCGACCTATGTTGTTACTTTTTGTGACTATTTGCATCCTAACCGAACATATTGGAATTACATGACATATATCAGGGCCTACATGGTGATTCATGGATTACCGGTAATATCTTTCTTTATCATAGTTATGATCTTATCATGACCTACATTTTGACCTTATGATGACCTGCATTCTGACATTTATAATGACCTACATTTGATGACCTACATCAGGGCCTTCATGGCGATAACTGGTAATATCTTTCTTGAGCTGCATTAAAACCTGTTTTGTGTCTGTCTACCAGAGTGCTCCCCAGAAGAGATTGCTAAGTGTATGGCAAAGGGCTGTCCTCGTCAAAAATGTGAGTGTATGGATGACGAGTACCAACAGATGTCCATCAATGACATCATCAATGGCAATGTGAGTACACTAAAGTAATGAGGGTACACTAGGTCAATGTGAATACACTAGGTCAATGTGAATACACTAGGTCAATGTGAATACACTGAGGGAAATGTGAATACACTAGGTCAGTGTGAATACACTAGGTCAATGTGAATACACTAGGTCAATGTGAATACACTGAGGTCAATGTGAATACACTAGGTCAATGTGAATACACCAAGGTCAATGTGAATACACCAGGTCAATGTGAATACACCAGGTCAATGTGAATATACTAGATCAATGTGAATACACTAGGTCATTGTGAATACACTAGGCCAATGTGAATACACGAGGTCATTGTGAATACAATGTGAATACACGAGGTCATTGTGAATACACTAGGTCATTGTGAATACAATGTGAATACACTTTGTCAATTTGAATACACCAGGTTAGTGTGAATACACTAGATCATTGTGAATACAATGTGAATACACATGGTCATTGTGAATACACTAGGTCATTGTGAATACACTAGGTCAATGTGAATACACTAGGTCAATGTGAATAAACTAAGGGAAATGTGAATAATTTTGGTCATTTTTACTTCAAAAGAAGAGATTTCTAGTTAATATAGATTGGGTTGTCAGGAGGTGCATTGGATAACACACTCATCTTTCACCAAGGTGGCTGGGGTTCGATTCCTTGATTGGATGTGAAAAAGTATAGGCTCACCTGCCCGACCATGTGGGTTTTTTCCTGGTACTTCGTTTTCTTCCCATAGTTAAGCCCCGCCCCTGCCCCTGCACTAAAATCCAGGACGAAGAGTAATTAAATTGCAGTGACTTGTTTCATATCTATTGTAAAATAAATAAATTTTATTTTGTTAAATGTCTAGGTCCCTTGTAATATAATCAACAGCAGTAGTGGAAAATAATCAATGGTGTTAAACCACTATTTGAACCCTTAACTTCAAATCGCTAGTCCTACTATTGCTCTAACCGATTTAGCTAGTAGGCCAATGGAAGTTTCCTGGTCCAGCTATCAGACAGTAATATCCATACGAAAAGAAAAGGGAAGCTACAGTATCTGGAAAACCACAGAGCAGTTGGACAGGGATCCGTAAAGAAATGTGTTATTTTCTTCTTATGTAGGGTGAATTTCCAGGTCTGATTCCCCTGATTGAGAAGTACATTGCTAGCCTTGACACAGATGTGGATACCTGCTGTACAATAACCAACTACCTTAAGTTCATCTCTAAGAAAGCTTCTGGTAAGTTATACAATACAATAATGTCAACAATAAATTTCCAGAATTCTCCGAATAATTATCAAGGAAATGGTTCGTAAATTCCTTCTGTATTAACTAGACTGTGATTTTTGTCTCGCTTCCACAAAGTGGAAGCGAGACTAAGGAGTTGCTTTTCCGGCGACAGCTTCAACATTAAGTTTTTGCGTTTAACTTAGCTTCTCTGAAAGTATAACTATAAGTGCTACACCAACCAAACTTGGACCATAAATGCATCTTAAGTAGTACATCTTAACCCATGAATCAAATGCTGGATGCGGCTTTCCGTTCATGGTCCATTGACTTTGTCAGCATCTCCATCAACATTTAGTTTTTGCGTTTAAGTTAGTTTCTCTGACAGTATAAGTGCTAGACCAACCAAACTTGGACCATAAATGCATCTTAGGTAGTACATCTCAACCCATGCATCAAATGCTGGATGCGGCCTACATACCTTTCATGGTCCATTGACTTTGTTAGCATCTCCATCAACATTATGTTTTTGCGTTTAAGTTAGTTTCTCTGACAGTATAAGTGCTAGACCAACCAAACTTGGACCATAAATGCATCTTAGGTAGTACATCTCAACCCATGCATCAAATGCTGGATGCGGCTTTCCTTTCATGGTCCATTGACTTTGTCAGCATCTCCATCAACATTAAGTTTTTGCATTTAAGTTAGTTACTCTGATATGTGCAATGATGGTCAAAGCAGGGCATAGGCGAGACACATCAATTCAAATAGTTTGTTGTGTTAGAAAACATGTTAACATTGTAGATAGATTCATTGTTAGATCAATTTGGAAAAACCTAAAATGATGTGTTCTATTGTATCTCCAGGTGAATTGAAGACAACATCGAAATGGATCAGAGAATTTATACATAATCATCCTGCCTACAAACACGATTCTGTTGTCTCAGAAACCATTAATTACGACTTGTTGAAGATGTGTACGCAGATATCAACTGGCGAGATTTCGTCACCTCTCGTACAGCCGACAGTGTCGTCAAAAACCACGGACGACATTCCAACTGCCATGTCTAAAGCAGAGGGCTATCTCAACGAGAAAAACACAAGGTCACGTACAACTAACGGTCTGCGCTCCTAAATACCACCGTCACCAACATGAATAGCCAAATTGTCTTGACCTGAAAGAATTGTTGTAAACAGAGATTGGTTTTTAATCTAAGTTGTGACCTTGTCAACATAGTACAGTAAAATCCCACTTACAAGAACTTGTGGGACCCAGATCAATAGCTCGAGGAATACATGGTATTCAAGTAATCCGAGGTTGGTTTTAGATCTTCAAGTATATATCTGTCAAATCTTGTAGAACTCGGTAGGGACCAAACGAACTGTTCGACGAATGAGGGGTATACGAGTAAACCGAGTTCGAAGATGTGGGGTTTTAACTGTATTCATCACTTTTAGTATGTAGTTCTCAATTTTTAACCCTTTCAACCCTATGCAACTTTTGTAGACTCTCCCATGCATTGATCTGGATAAGTCCATTATGGTCTACAGTGGTAAAAGGGTGAAGCTGTGTGCTTAAGGACATGCTATATAACTATTAACTTACTGGAAAATGAGCCAGAATATGGTGTTATTGCTCAACTTATTGATTTCAGTGGTACCAGTGTTTTAGGGAGGAAAGCTGTAATGCTCTTACTGCTTATGTTCCGATTCAGCAATTAATCATTTAACTGATTCACCCCTGAAGACACATTTGAGCTCTTCCAATTCAAAGGTTGGAATAGTTCATTACGAAATTTCAGGGGTGAATGAGTTAAACAGAAATTTGACAAGTAATACCCGATAGACTTTATTAAGAGTGTGTTTTTGTTTCAAATGGAGATGATACAGTATAGTGGGTTATTTACGAGAACTTAAATTTTTCGGTTGAAAAAAAATCATCAGCAAAACTATAAGATGTGTGATACAACCTATGTATATGAATCGTCATAACAACAGTACTATTTCATGAAGACATTACGGTTATGAAATTTATTATCGCAGCTCATTTTTAGGTCAGCTGAGACAAAGGCCGTTTTCGTTTAAACGGTTGAACCCGTTCCGATGACAGTTGTTCGTTTATTAAATAAGGACGGACCTAGTAATCTGATGCTGTTTTCAGGCGAGTCTTGACAAAGCCTTGCAAGACCTGCATAAACATTTGCAGGTCCGCCAGGATTTATACCGTAAAAATGTTACATTTAAAGACCGCCAAACTGGTTGTTCCGCATAAACGAACAGGCCCAATGTCTCAAGTGACCTATTCTAATCGCCTTTTGTCGCCGTCCATCGTCTGTAAATAATTTACGTTTTGGACTTCTCATCACAAATCACTGAACCACTTACACTGAAATTTTGCATAAACCTTCCATGGCTAAAGATTCACCATAATTGTGAATAATATGGTCTCTGCCCCCGGGGGCCAAAAGTGGTCAAATTGGCTTCAATTTCAACAATCTTTTTCTTAAGACCCAGTAATGCTGGAAACAAATACTCTTAATAGATAGATAAAATGGTTTAAAGGTGGTTTATCAAAGATTATTTCAATACTCCCATACTTCATGCCCCCCCCCCCCTGGGGATAAGGTGAAATTTACTGTAGTTTCTGTAGGAAAGTTATATATGTGTTCGTCATTTTTTAAAAGCAAAATCAGAACAGAGTACAGGTGACCGTTAAGGCCCATAGGCCTCTTGAGACACATGTCTTGCTATTCTGCGGATCATATCTTCCCGATCACGTTGTTGACCGGCGGAAATCATGAAAATATCATCCCCACGTAAATTATCATGCTGTACAGTAACTTGGTTGTGTGATCTCACTACCCTCAGTAAACTTCGGAGGAAATTGTGAAATCAGTTTGAATGTTACATCATCGCTGCTTATTTTATGAATGTTGATCGCTTCATAATCATGGTAAAAAGGTTGGAAGTTGTTTCATTTTAATGCAAATACCAAAAATTGTAACTATGCATAAATTTTTTTTCAGCATGGCTGACTATGGCTTTAATCGATCCCTTTTGATAGGAACCCATACCATGTCAAACTTCCCTCAGACCCTTTTGGAGATGAAGTTACAATGTCAATATATTTCTTTTCTTTAAGGATCCCTGTACCACTGCTGGCCAAAACTGTAATTAAGTACAGGAAACTGTTTTTTTGCGTCATGACTATAGCTTTGATAAATCATTTCTTAAAATAGAAAAAACATTCCTTGTGGTACTGGGATTCAAAACTGCGGTACTTATGCGAGAAATAATAGATACAAAATAAACAAAATATTGAACGCCAGTGTTCTGAGTTTAATAATTCAGTGGGGCCCGACTGGGATTGTTATACTATTGCTGTAACCATTTGTGATACCTGGTGATGTAAGTAAAATTTCTTAATCTTATTCTTTTAACTCAGAAAGCCGATTTCCGTTACCCCTACCCCCTATTTTTTAATGAAAAAATAATCATTTTTTAACATTTTTGCAGATTAAACGCTTGATATAAAAAGTTCTGGTATTAAACTTTTTTTAATATTTAGTGAATTAAAAGAAAATGTGTTTCTCTTTCTAAAACATCCACAAAAATGGGGGGTCGGTGTGCTTCTTTTTTTGTCCCATTATCATTTGTGTTATTTTTTCGGGGTCAAAAATCAAAAGTGCTTCGGTTACACTAAATATGTAAAAAAAAATATCAATAATGTATAATTTTCCAGTTTTGTTGCATATTATTTTTATCATATTAAACATTATAAAGTTGTACAGCAATATTGAACCTGCTATAATTAAAAATGACGACACAATGACAACTTAAGTGATCAATCTAGTGTCAAAAAAGGTGAAATTTTTGCCTTTTTTGAAGCCCAAGAAATACACATTAATACACATTTTCAAAATGGCCGCCGTATTGGTATTTTTTTTAGATTCTTGTAAAAAAGGTTCTACAAACAACGGACATCTAGTTTTTTGACATTTTTCAGATGCGTGTTTGCTAATAAACGTGATCATAATTTATTAAATATTACAAAAACCCGTGACACAAGATCGAAACGAGACTTGAATGTGATTGAAACCTCAGAAGAGTACATCCTTAAGGGGAGGTTACTGTTTATAGGAAAAACCAAACTGCAGTGGGATAGGGACCCTTAATGATCCTTACTGTAAGAATGTAAAACTATGGAGGAATTTCTCTAGTGGTCTGTTTGTAGTGGGACGGGTCCTTAAGATGTCATATTTTAGATTCTATATAATCACTCCCTAGGCATAATACATATCACTAGATACTACACACACACAACTTAGTCATGAAATAACGTAGCTGGGTGAGGAAATATTGCATACACTAAAATTCAACATTCTCAAGTAATCAAGTGTGTGAAGAGTTGTTCCATATGGTAACAAATTATTGCATCCACGATGGTCAAGGAGTCGCACTCACTTTCGCTCTCTGCACCCCTGGAATATGTCAAAGCAAATTAGAAGGCAAGCGACTAGCTATTTGATTGCTTTCAGGTAAAATAACCTGACAAATCGACAGGCTGATACCTGTCGTTTGAAGACTACACCGGAGTGACACCCGACTTCAAAACCAATTAATTTTACCGTTAGGCGACTGCGAGATTCTTTTGATGATCAAACTAGGCTTCTTGTCTCATCAACAAGGTGGCAGACACTGAGCATGCGATCTTGCTAGTCCAGGGGTGTAGAGAGCGAAAGTCAGCGTAACCCCTGAAGTATTGAGGATGACATGGTTGGGATAATAACCTCTGAAGAGTCCTGTTTATTGTATTTGACCAATTGATAAATATGATTGATGTGGAAATTTTCACATCTCAAGCATTGTGGAACATATCCTAGAGAGATCTACAGCCAAAATTGTCTAACTTAGATTATCATACAACACGCTTCAGACACTTCTCATTTAGGGGAACAAAAACTGCCACCAATATTGAACTGATGTTGCTGTTAGACGCAATTTAATCATATAACCAGATTATTTAGTATTTCACATAATTCTATGTAATGATGTATGTTTAACATAATACAATATATAACAAATGATTTCTTCTCAGGAAATTAATTTAACTTCATTAAATAGTCACTTTAAACTTTCATTTTGTTTCTTTCTGTTTCACATTGCCGCAAAATATTGGTACTCTACCATAGTTTAAAATATGTTTGGTGTTCAACGGCAAACCATAGAATGTCTTCTATGTATCATAGAGGATAACGCAGTGTCAACAATACCATACTTCAAACTCAAAAGCGAAAATTCTTCGGCAAATATATGTAAACAAAGAAAAAAGGTTACAAAGAGACTCCTGAAAAAATAAGACCAAGTGTTCCGGAAGTGTAAGCGTCTACTGCTCCATCAACGACACCTGCCATGTTAATCTTAAGTCAAATCCTAATAATGTCACGACCTCATATCGAGAACTTTGGTAGTGACAACCACAAGGATCACTATTGGGCATATCAAAAACATCGACCTTCATATCACGCTAAGATATAACATATTTCCCTAGAGATCATGACGGCGACTTAAAACTTGTCCAACGTCTACGACAACCTGCATCTTCAGCGGTCGACATATTATATGGAAGTCATTATATTCGGAGCAAGCTCCTGAATACGGAATCATCTGCGACATGTTAACATCTTAGGTTGGGAAACAGGGATGTTACCATCAAGAAAGTGAAAGGTCACGATTGGAAAGTCGAAGTCGTCTTGTTTATCGTACTGCGTAGTAATAAGCCGTCACCTATTTAGTATGTTAATATCGAGGACACCGGCTGAAGTAGAAGAACTTTGTATGTTTTTATTACCAGTCCTGGTATTATTGATAAATTCCGCCTTATATGGGGGGAAAAAACAAGTTGACCACAAGAGGAGCACAGTTTGTTCCCAAAGAAATACCCAGCTGTTGCAAAGTAACTCTGTGTGCAGAACGCATAGGTAATCCAATGTGAAGTAGAAACAACTAACTCAATGTAGAAGCAACGGATCGTAATCTTTAATGTTAGTTAAGAAGCCTGGTTCTTTTAAATTGTACTACTGACCTGTTGTTGTTTGAATAATGAACAACGTTGACCAATATTCTGATGACATGAAATGTTTTTCCCCGAAATGATGACTGTTTTGTGCTCCCTGTTTCAAGATTTCCTTTCCATTATTTTGTGAACTATATTGTTATGTCCGTTCATATCTACGTAAACTCTTCTGACACAATGGAAATCGTGACTCACATTTTCGGCGTTTAAATCTGTTTGCTTTGCACTAATTATGAGAAGCCTGCCTCTACGGAGCCCAGTGTGCGAGATCTCTATTTTTTGTGTGCGAGAGACTTTTAACGGCATCGCGGTGTAACGTCGTTTCAGCCGTTTAGGTTAGATTTACCATGTATCAAACAAATCCTGGCTTTCTCCGACTACTATGACATCTGTATTGTAACTCTATTCACTTTTAATATCCTAAAATTGTTGGAAATTGAACACATTTTAGCAGATATGAATTATATTTGTATTAATCAAAGCAATACATTGCATCCAAAACACGCAACACATTATCAAAGGCCTTTCTTGTAACGATTCCGCTCCTGGCGTGAATAGGTACCGGCCACATTTTCTCTGTCAGTATTGCTCTATGGCATAGGATTTTCCAAGACCTGTTAAAAACTAAAACTGTTACCAGAACATCTGTTTGGATTACCACCGGCGACATTCTAGTAAACCTCTGTTTTGTTACCCAAGAACAAATGATAATCAAGTGACAACAAAAGCGAAATCCAAACTCAAAGTAGATATAAAACTAGAGCAAAATACGAACAAAGGAAATATTTAGATGACGATCCCTGAAAAAGAATACGACCAGGGGTTCCGGAAGGGTAAGCGTGAACATTCTTAATCTACTGAATGTCCTTGTTAACAAAGTTCTAGAACACGACAGCAATTCTACCTGCACACAGATTATATAGAGTAACAACAACAAGCCCATAGTTTTAAAACACAGCAAGTGCCGTACCCGGGTCATCCCAGGCCCATCCGGCCGAGACCTTCCCTGGCCTCTCTCTCCTGAGGCTCACATTGCCGAGCCTCAAATACCCACCTCTAAACTAATAAC